ACTCCTTGGTCTCATCATCACACTGGGTGATCTGATCTTACTTTTATATGCTGTCATCTAGAAAGAGATGACTGTCTTGATGGCCCCAATAAGCAAGTTGTAATAATAGATATTTGGGAAAGCAACTTTGAGGCAAACTTAACGTTTTTAAATAGAGTGATAAAAGGTTCTTTGATACATGTACAGTGTATATGTATATGCAGCAAGAAAACAAAAAACAAGTCAATCATTTGTTTCATGATTCTACTAGAATGATCTTTCAAATACAAATCCTTTGCCAGAAATGATAAGTCTACGACCCCATGTACAAAGTGCTACAAACCACAGAAAATCTTTAAAAAAAATGCTTATTAGTACCATTGAATACATTGATATTCACTACAGTGTATGAAGGACTACAGGCTGCATAGCCATTTGATGATTACATGGGGAAGAAAAAGACACCAAAAGTCTTACAACTCACATTTTGTACTACTTGTAAATTATGTGATTTATCAAATTGGTAACAATTTTGGAAGTATGTTGTGGCGGATGATTAAAGATGATTTGCTCTTCTTTCACGGCACCTTAAATTATATTGGAACTTATGAAAACTGACTGAAAAAACGTGATACGGGCTTGTGACTTTGGCTTCACCTAGCACCTTGTGTGAGTGTTTAGTTACCTTGGCATGTTGCTTCCTGTTTAATGTACAAACATTTCATCACATTCTGAGATACTAATTGATATATTAAACCACAGACCGTGACTCAAACTTGCAGAGAAACAAGCCATAAACCTACCTACATGTATAAAGAAACAACAATTCTATGACCCATTCCCTTGCAAAAATGAACCACTGTCAATTTCTTACACCAAACAAATTATTTAACTTCAACCATACAAGTAAACCAAATACTACACAAATATAGCCATAAACTTATCCCTCAACCTAACCTATAAAAAAGTTAAACCCACTGGCAAACCCATTCCCAAATCTTTGAAACTTTGAGCCCAGAGCAATAGTCGAAGCAGCATGTACTATCATCATCAAATTGACAGTTTAATTATTATTCTGAATTTGTTTACAGTTTATAGTAGGTCTCATTCTTAGTATGTCATTTCCTGATATTACCTTGGCACCTTTGCCAGAGTCAAGGTCAATAGCAAACATGTCAAAAGATGTGTTAACATTGTTGTTCAGTGTAGAATTTGTGTTTTGATATGAGTATACTACATACACAGTTACTATGACAACCACCAGATCATTCTTTTTTTCTACATGTATGTAGTCATCCGAAATAAAAGTATTAGGCTCACGGCAACAAGCTGGGATGATGCTTTGCAACGGTCTACTTTTTATAAAATATTGGTTAGTTATTTACTACTGAAAAACTAGAAGCATTTTTTTATTTTATGAGTCGTTCGGCATCACAATAGTTTCTTGCCACTAAAAAATGGCAGTTGTTTATAAATCATATGGGGTGAACCTCATGTGTAAGCTTCATCAGAGTACTGCACATGAGGCAGGAAGAGTTTGTTTTCACAAAATTCAATACAACAAAGGTATACCGGTACACGATCATCAAAGGGGACAGTGCTACTGTATTGAAGCCATTGTTTGAGAAGAGTTCCTAATCCTACACTTTCATCATTTTGTTTTGTCTTGTTTTTTGCTTTCTGTTTATTGAGGAATTTTATTCAAGGTCGGTTGTACATATAAATGTAACAAAGCGCTTTCTTAAATGACCCTTATTTACAATTTTACATACACATGTACAGTACATGTACAGTACACCAGCAGGTGGCATTTTATACAAACCTTCAAAAGGAATAACACAGTGCATGTACATGTATTATTGTAGCAAGAACCTTCCATTGATTTTCCTATTCATTGTATTCAATGGTTGTACAAATCTTTGGCTCATGTGGACAAAACACTCTCCATGGCCATTAGGAGTCCATTCAGCACATTGACCAGAAACCATGAATGGGAAGGACAAAAGGACTACATTTAGAAGAGCTTATTCTACTTGATTGAAGCAAAATGTTAGTTCATTAATGTTTACAGGGCTACACCCAAAACTATATTCCATTGTGTGTTCAAATTTTCTGTGAATGGAGCCCCTGTTGAATTGCCCCCCTTATTTTTTTTTTTTTTTTTGGGGGGGGGGGGGGGGGGGGGGGGGGAGGTAGGGGTTGCAATTTTGGGGGACATGTCATGTGCACCAGATGCCAGGTGTTAGCATCGAGCCCTGACATAAAAGAACAACTTTTATCATAAAGAGAGGGGGAGAGAGAGGGAGAGGGTGAAGGGGGAGAGGGTGAAGGGAGAGGGAGAAGGGGGAGAGGGAGAAGGGGGAGAGGGTGAAGGGGAGAGGGAGAAGGGGAGAGGGAGAAGGGGAGAGGGTGAAGAGGGAGGAAGAAGGGGAGAGGGAGGAAGAAGGGGAGAGGGAGGAAGAAGGGGAGAGGGTGAAGGGGGAGAGGGAGAAGGGGAGAGGGAGAAGGAGAAGGGGGAGGGAGAAGGGGAGAGGGAGAAGGAGAAGGGAGAAGGAGAAGGGGGAGGGAGAAGGGGGAGAGGGGGAGAGGGAGAAGGGGAGATGGAGAAAGGGAGAGAGGGGTAGAGGGAGAAAGGGAGGCAGATAAAGGGAGAGAGAGACAAAGAAAAGGGGGTGGGAAATGAGAATAGGGACCGACAGGCCAGGAGAGTGAGAATTAAGAAATGATTGATTCCAATTTAAAGACTTTAAGAAAAGTGAGAAAACTTCATAAAATAGCAAGTTCTGCACCAGAGTCATTAACAGTAGGCCTTCAGGCTTTCTCCGATGTCGACAAACTATTGGAGGTCTTGAGTGTTTCTATTGGATGAAATGGGATCCCACAGTGTTGCTGTGAGCTCTGCGTGAAGGTGCAAGCTGAAATATAATTTCATTCTACACAGGTCACCCCTGATTAAATGGCTCTAGCAGATCACAGCCCACTAGCTGCTATTACACATTCCTAAATCATAATGAGTCCAGGTCCACGGCTAGTCAAAAATAGTCTTGCTAACAAACATACATGTGCATGTACATGATGCAATAAACTTGTGCACTAGATTGTACATGTCATGTGTATATAACAAATGTTATTGAAAGGAATATCTTGCTATTATTTACTGTAATAGTTTTCCTTTTATCCAATTGTATAGGGAGTAATTATATTGCACAATACATGTAATAACATTTGACGTACAATGTATTGTGTACACTGTTATAGCAATACATGGTACACTATACTTGAATATACAGGCTCTCGACTCAAATTATCTTTGAAGGTATCAGATTTTGATTTTGATTTTTAATAAATATATATTTTTATATTTATGGTGCTATACTTGTAAACCAAATGACAAAGTTTAAATGATAAACTAATTAAACTAAAAAGCATGTACAGTATGATGTATGAAGTCAGGGTGCATGATACAGTATGTGTTTACTGAGTTATTCCTACATGTACCAAGTACCATATACCTAGTACTGCATTACATACAATACAAGGAATGGATGACTTATTATTTTATGTCCGTTTTCACTTTCTGTACATAAATATGAAGAAAAGAAAGAAGAAAAAATCCCTTTTGGTAATTGGTAATGCTTAGTGTCTTATTTGGCTGGGTAAACTAAATAATGAAGAATCGTAGGTTTCATCATCCCTCCCCCCCCCCCCTTCCTCTCTCTCTCTCTCTCTACTTGATCTACATGTCATGATGACAATACATGCGCATTGCCATTCTGTCAGGCAGCTACCCTCTAGGCTTCTTGGATAGCTCTGATTAAAAAATGGAAATCTCTTCACCGCACAGCCACAGACTGACATATGATAGACAGGTACTATAGACTACATGTACATGTGGTGAACTTTGTATGAGCCTTGATGATGTTTTCAAACTTTCGTAGCAAACAGGGCTTTTACAGGCGCAGGCTACATCTGGTTTCCAGACCACTTCCTGGTGAAGTCATTTTGTTCACCAAAAAATGTCATATCAAGACACAATTGCTTGTTGTTAGATGATCTTGCAAATGTTTGTTTGAATGGAAAAGTACAGATGCTGTGATGCATGTCCAGGAATACTAATATTTTTAAAATTAATTTTCTCTGTACGATTATAAGTAAGCTACCACAAAAAAAAAGTTCTTAAAACTTCAAAGATGCAGTTAATGAATAATTGAAACACAAATGGACAAATAATCTTAAGTTTGATACCTACATAATATATGCAGACTATCAACCCTAAATTAAGGTTTTAAAAAAAAATAAAAATGAAAAAAAAACTTGTTGTCATCAAGGACAGCTGAAGAGCTTTTTAGAGGGTGCTTGAAGGAGGCAGGAGTCATTTTAGTAAGGAGGCAGGAGTCATTTTAGTAGAGAAACAGCAAAGAGCTCTCATGTGTACCGGTAGATGTACATAAATGTAGTTTGAGTACTGTTCATTTGATTCACATTACATGTAAACAACTAAATTGTTCATACCCTTAGGAGATTCTATGATTTTTTGTGTTTTTCGTAACTAGAAAATGAAAGGTATACTAGTTGATTAATTAAAATTAGGGCCTATCTTGAATACTTTTAGATGTGAGCTTTAATATCTCACATTCTCAAGAAATGTAAATTGGGATAAATATTTTTTTTCACATACTTAAGAAATTTAAGAAATTTGGTAAGGGTATGAATAATTTAGTTGTTAACTGTAGCTTCCCTTCTTTATTTCATGTCATTATTCATGTTTGAGCCTGGGATGATTTTGGTACAATGTGGCAGGAGACAAAAAATGGGAACTGCTACATATGCTTCAAATAGATTCTGGCTTACTAGGCACTAGGCACTCAGACTCAGCGGAAAATAATGGCAGGGTAAGCTCAGAGAGCTGACTTGATTGCAAATACTTAAGTCCAAAGCTAGGCAACAAACGTTACTGTGCTGTACTATTATTCTTGTCTAACTGCAGACTTTCAATCCCCTATAGTACACTCATTACTCACCCAGCAACGTATGCCACATGACCTGTGTTTGGGTCACAGGTCAAAGTACAATTGTCCTTTACAGTTATTCCAAGTACTCTTTCCAAGGTTACCTGTGGCAAATGTTAAAATAAAATAGAAGTTAAATTAGAATTCCTTAACAGTATGTATACATGTAGGCAATAGGTAAGATTAATCTTCTGTGAAACATTGTGATATAATTATACATGAATGTACTATCACCTACAATATGTACATGTGATGTAGTGCCGTGGTTCTGAAGATATCTTGATAACGAGTACAAGAAAAAGAAAGCATGATGGACAACCATAAAACATTTAATGCCTATGGGCTATGGCACCACCTTCGGCGGGCAGAGGCATACAAAATGAATGTCAAAATCATTCAAACACGTGCTCGCGAAACAGCAGATTAAACAACCGTTCATTGACAGAGCTTTAAAATATTATCAAATGCATTCTCACTCTCAGTCACGATGAGTCACCCACACTCCCTTGACTTGAGATTGAAGGAAAACTGTCAATTCACTATTTTGACTTTTAAACAGCTAAAAAAAAACATGATAAAATAGAAGAAAATAACTAAAGATGCAATAGATCTATAGAAATATAATCAAATAAGCCAATATTTTAAGTGTGCATCATGGTTATGTTTCACAAAGTTGAATTAATTCTAAACTTCTGTAGTCCTACGCAATTGTATATTTAATGACACTAGGGGCCTAGACTAATCATAAATAATAATCATCAATCATTCAAACAAAGAACTAAACTAAACAAATAAACAATCAAGTAGACTAATAAAGTTTAATGAAAATATCTAGATTATGATAAAGGTCTACAATGGAATACAAATTATAAGAATGGAAGAAGTTGTCTCACTTTTTGACTCAATGCTTTGTGTTTTCTTTTTCCTGGTCCTGTTCCACGAACGACAACGCGATTTTTCCTTTCTCCGATCGCTAGCGAAGATGGCCGTTGATTACTCATCTTGATATTTATTTAGATTAAAAATCCGAGTCAAAAGTGTTCTAAGTCATTGCCAAATGTCAATGCCACTCCTTCAATAAAATAGTATAAATGATGATGGTCCAAATATTTGTCGGAGACCTAGCCTACACAAACGTACCCGGCCCTGGCCAGTCAGCGCCCATTCAAAGGGGATCCTGGCCGATGGGCACCCGTCCGTGAATATGCACGAAAGGGGTTATTCTCGATCTCCTGCTCCTGTAATCCGACGGTCACACATTTTCGCAAAAAACTACTCGTCCTGTGATATCGGGTATATTCAATATATTCCTATTGCTCTCCTTCAATTAGAGAGTATTCTGTCTTTTACGTTTTTCAAAGTATCTTCGCCAAATTTTACGACACAACTTGAGATATTCCGCTGGAACGACGACGACTGCTGCTACTATCGCATGAAAATATTACGATCAGACGAAATTTGGCCGATAGGCATGATTGGCCACATGAGGAAATTAGGGTCAACAACTGGCCAATTATCTTCGCGCTCTTGTAAACTCCGCCCCATGAACTCGGAAGTAGTATGTCTTTACTACCGGCGTCTGCTCCAGCTGATATAGCTGCTAGCTGTGTATGTAAACAACAATAATGCTAGACCCATATATATCTGGGCCATTCGCATAGTGGACATAGCTAACCTATACTGTATACTGCACTGCATGTTGCCTATGGTAAGGTTCAGTTACATGAAATCATATATACCCCTTTGCCTGAGCATATGAGTGTCTTATATGCTCTGACGTACTAGAAGTGTGCAATTGTGCAAATGGAACACACACACAATGTTATTTGACAGGATCCTGAGTGCCTCAAAAAGAGTGGCAAACTATATCGGACCAACTCCAGTTTTTACAAGTGGCACGGTCGACAAACTGACTGGAAGGAATGTGTTTTTCAAGGCTGAAAACCTCCAGAAAACTGGCTCTTTCAAGATTCGAGGAGCTCTAAATGCTGTGAGTATAGATGTTCATATTGAGAGAGTGGAGATCGCGTATGGTGGAGTTTACCACAACCACAAACAAGATGATGATGATGCTGATGGGGATGATGCTGATGGGGATGAAGACGATGATGATGGTGATTAATATGATGGTGATGAATGATGATGATTATTGTGGTGGGGATGATGATGATGATGGACATTGTGAGAGTAGATGTGATCTATTTAAATATCAGATTTTGGAAGCTTTTTCTTTTAAAACATAAAAACATGAAATTCACCTTTTTTTAAATAATGGTATGAAGAGGACGATGCATTTAGATAATTTTAAAAAGATAATATTTAAAAAGATGAGCTAAGTATATAAGTGGAGGATTGTTAAGCTATGTATATCATTTTAGAATGGTTCATGCAATATAGATATAGCGGTATTGTATACACATGTACTGTACTATACAATTATGATCTAGTTATGTAATATATATGTATCATACATTATTTTTTATCCAACATGTTCAAGGGCATGAGAAAATTGTGTGTGATTGTGTGGGGTCGAAACCTTGAAGAAATGTTCAAATGAACTAGAAATACACATAGGAATTGGCAAATTCGACAATATTCTTACTACACAAAGTCAGCTTTAAGTTTTCAAAACCTTTATAAATGTGGAAAAATCGGAATCTGTAAGTGTCATCCTTCGTAATTCATTTCTTAAAATCAATCATTTTCTGTTGTCGTCTTTAACCTGCATTTCATAGTAGAATGTTATAAAAATTTTCATTCATTTCACACAATTGCAGGTAAAATTATATTTCTACTCTGCATTTTAACTTCTTAATCTGTATGATTATGCAAAATTAAATTTATAGTTATTGTACAGTTTTGTATATTGTAAATATTATGTTTTAAAAATATTGTTTGTAAAAGATTGCAGTTCACCCATCTGACTGGATGATATGTTTAGATAAACCTTGTCTGAACTACATAAAAGATAAGGCGTTGTATCAGAATGAAGACATAGAGTTCAATTGGGTTCATTATCAAGATGATTTGCCATGCTGTTTGAATAAGAGTGATATATATTAAACAAAATCAATATTGATAAGTCATAGCATGAAGAAGATTTTTTAACAAATGTAAATTAATGAATTTAGTTAGGGTAAGAATAATGAGTGGATTTTGGATTAGGGTAAGTATTAATCTTAGGATTATGATTAGGACATTACAGGAAATGCCTTTAAACACTGTTACCAATAGTGTACACGGTCCTGTATAGTTGATGCCTAACTCGGGGTCCTTCCAGAAATGTTGGTGAATGTTTAAATTTTTTTAAACAAAATTATTAAGAAACATTAAGACTGAATGAAGTATACAATGGTATCAATAATTGATGAATGAATACAAATGAAAAAATAAAAAATAAATCAATATTGACAATATAGTGAGAAGTTTACTACACTATGAGTATATTTTTATCCATGTTTGCTATACCTAAATATAAGACTGTTGCTCTATACCATTAGCTATAGGACTTAAGTTAATACTTAAAAGACTACATGTAGTACACAGGTTATAGAAAATGATCTGAAAACATATTTAATAGTTTCGCCAGATTTATAAATAAACCACAAAGTGTGAAATAAGGAGGCTTAAAAAGGGAGATGTCCATTAGTCCACGGCAGTATAGCCACAGGATATGAGTCAGAAATACTAGAAAGAGGAAATCCAAGATGCAAATTTTTAATCTCCCAAACTCTAAAAGGGATGTCAGCTGACAATGATATTGATAATTATATTCATGATACAGATTGAAGAAATATATATAACAGTTTTCAGAATGTGGTAATTTCATTTTGAAGATTAGATACGATAAAAATAAAGTATGCAATGATCATGTCAAGGAGTTACCGGTATTTGGCTGAGGCCTATTAGCTATTGTAAATGGTATAACATATGACTTACAATATATGTTTTTCCATGAGATTTAGCTGGCGGAGGGGAGGTGGGAAAACGGTCACTCTTTACTTGATCTAGAATTAAACAAAAATTCTCAATTTTTTAAATTAAAGAGAATTATTTGACAGGTCAAGAAAATAGTGAAAATTCACACAACCAATTGACCGAATCCTATGCTCTATGCTCCTATTCTTGTTTTGCACCCCATTATGTTTAACATTTCTGACCACACCTCTCCTCCACAGCATTGAGTTTATTCTCTTCTGGTTCCCATTATATGATATTGCAAACAAGGAACATAACTTTAATTTTGATATATAAACATATTTTAATATTCTTCTCTTTTAAAATATACAGATTATTTTATTGAAAGAGAATAAAGTGCAGACAAATGGTGTGGTAAGTACATGTACTGTCCATAAAAGTTTTTTTTGTTTAATTGCTAATGTTTCTAATTATTTAATTTCAATTTTACAATTTGATAAAACTTTATGAATAATTCATGAAGCAAATGACATTTTTCTCAATTTTAGTGACTTTGTAGATCATACATATTACATGTCAATGTTGCTTGAGGATTATGATTTTTGATGTGAGGCTGTGGGAAAGGCAAATTTTAATTTATCATCTCTAATGGTTAAAGAAGTACTACTTATTTACTTCAATAATATGAATTCAGATAGTTATTATATTTTGAAACCCGACTATACCTATAATCTATTCTAAACCGAAATCCAATATTTAAAATTGACATACAATTGATCAAAAATGCATTTTAAAAATTAAATGTTTTGATTGTCTAGTATCACAATATAGTTTGAACCCAGCCATTTTATATTAAAATAATAAAGTTTTTTGTTTGTTTCAACTACTTTAATATGGTCTTTAATCAGGTGACCCACAGCACAGGTAACCATGGCTCAGGGCTGGCCTGCGCCGCCCAGATGGTCGGGGTACCCTGCACGGTAGTGGTACCCCACACCACGGCCTCGGTCAAGATAGATGCCATCAGGTGGTATGGAGCCGACGTGGTCTTCTGTGAACCAACCCAACAATCCAGGTATGGTTACAGGAAACCTTCTTTACCCTGTTCTGAAGTTGCTTCAGGGTGATCCAGTATGTACTATTCAGGGTATTGGGGCAATTTCTAGACTTCTGAGGCCAGTTTCTCGAAACCATCATAAGTCTAATTTCGTGGACATCCCATAGTAACGTGTGTTAATTCTATGACACACGTTTCAATAGGGTGTCTAAGAAGTTAGACTTATGACGGCCCCTCGACAAGTGGTGAAAAATTGTACAGTATATTGATACAGGAAAGAAACATAGTAAATGACCATATCAGGTGATTTTTCATTATCAAGGGACACATTTCATAGGGTTGCCTACACTTAAAGAATCGTATGACCAATAGAGACGGAGTTGCCAAATGCCAATATGTGTTTGATCCGAACTTTGAGAAGTCATATTTCATTTTCATTTGTTAATCACAATTTCACAAGCATATTTCTTTTTTATGTCTGTTTTCATTTAGAGCAACTTGATAGTGATTAGAGTTCCCCTTTAAAGAAATGACATCTCTCAGAAAACAAAAAGATAACAGAAGTAAACATATCGTGCTATCTATATATACAAAAAGTATATGCATGCGTATGATAACCTGAGGTCATTCACACCTCATTAATCATGTGCACAGATAACCGCGTAAGGATGTTGTGGAGACGGCCTAAAACTGCAAACTGTAGGCCAGGTATTGAATCCATGAACAATTTGTTATGCAATACTTTAATGTAGCTTTACCTTATGAAATAGAAAATAAAAACAGAACCTAATTGTGCCAGGGTTGTTTTGTTTTGTTTTGTTTTTTGTTTTTGTGTTTTCGGTAGGTATAATCCAAGATAGTATTGTTTTTGTATTATTCTGTTATCTTTCTATCTTTCGCAGGAAGGAAACATGTGAGCGTGTTTCAACAGAACAGAACCTGTCGTTTGTCCCTGCGTATGACGACTACGATGTCATGGCAGGTCAGGTCAGTATTAAATCTGTCTTTACATCACCTCAATCCCTCCTCAATAACTAAATATCCTTTAGAGAGTTTCTACGTTAAAGAATCAATCTTTTTCATGACTAAATGAAGTCATGGCTGCTTTGATGGTCAGTTTTAATTAATAAAATCCTTAACACCTTCTTATTTGGTAACCTTGAACAGTTCCTACCGTGTTCCAGCTGAAAAAAGAATTGCTTAGTAAACTCATCTGCTTCCTAATTTGTCAGTGCTTTATTTAACCCATTGAAAATCCCCACACGTTTCTTAATCTAGTATCCATTGAAAGTTTGTCCTAAAAAAATGTAGATGAAATTTGTCATGACTATGCATCTCAAGAATTTTCAGGTCCCCATCCCTTCCATATGCAGCAGAAAATAAAAATTGTTTTGGTGAGCTTGTATGCTTCTAACTTTTTGATGACTGTGATTTTATAGATGATGAAGTCAGTATTGTTCTATGAGTATTCACTTCAAGCAGTAGCTTTGAAAAAGTTTTTGCCATGTTGCAGTCACACACAAAGAAATTGCGATTATGCGCTTCAAAGTACCTAACTGATGACTGTTTATTTTATGGCTCATAATTTTATTGTTTAAACTGTGAAACGCCAAACTCCTTCCCATCACCTGTAGCTCACTTTTGACTATTCTACGCCATGTTTCAACTAAAAAAGATTCATTTTGGTAATGTTATTCACCTCCAAATATGGATACTTTGATCTCTTGGCTAGTAAGGTCATTTGACCCATCCTGTCCTCATAGGCACTATAGTGTACTTTTGGCTACTGCATCTTCATGTTCTCGCTAGATAAGAATGTCGTGGGTGCAGACCTTGTCTGCTTCCAAGTTTCTTGGTGTGGGATGACGTATGATGGATATGACATCATTGACCACTCAAATTTGGATAGATTTCTTTTTTTGGTTCTGAGAAAAGTTTTTGGCTCATGTCCACATTCTTCATGATGAACATTTTATGCACCTGTCTTAAAGGAGGTGAACAGAATGTGGGGAAAGGAAAGTGAAATACGTTGATTATACGACATAAATTGGCAAACTGGTATGTTATGTCATCCTTGTGATAATTATTTAAGATACTGTTTGAGAAATTTTTTTACCTATAGGAAGAAAAGTTCATTGGTATTGGTCAAGTTTTTGTTGGGGATATGATAACTTTGTTTTGAGCATCGCTATCAGAAATAAAGCACAGTTAAAAAAGAGTTTCACACATGTCTTTATAACTTGTATTTTTTTTTGTTATTCTAGGGGACTATTGGTGTTGAGATGTGTGAACAGATCCCAGACCTTGATGCCGTTCTAGTCATGACCAGTGGTGGAGGTCTCATAGCTGGTATAGCTACGGCTATCAAGGGTATTAAGCCAAATGTCAAAGGTAAAACAGAGATTCACCTTTCATTCATTATAGTTTATATCTAGACTTGCAGACCCTGACTTATAATTTACAGTGTGAGTGTAATAAAAAAATATTAATAAATAATAATAATAATACATGTAATAATAATAAAAACTGTGCTCATAAAACGCTTACCACCTCTAAGCGCTATTATGTATATGTGTAGAATTGAAGGTTCTTTTTATCAGGTAAACTGTAGGCCAAGACAGTACTAGTTTGCAGATTTCAGTGGTCTTTTTTCCAGTGACATATGTATTTCACAAACTTGAACACTGAATGTGAAAGGCTTTTTTTCAGGGCAAGGTGTTTTGTTACAAGTAGATCTACAAATAAACCTTGTACATTCTGCTGATGTAGGTATGTTTTTATCTTCTTTACAATGTAGTGTATGCTGTTGAACCCGAGGGAAAAGATCTCCAAAGATCGCTTGAATCAGGTAAGGCATACAACAGATCAGCCCAGTAATAGATCAATAATTGAAGATGTTACTGCGACAAGCATAATAATCATGTTTGAGTTAACCATCATTACACATCCCACTCCTGCCACTGTTTTTTGCTTTGGACAAAATATACCTACACCGTATTGTAACAACATATGATGGAAAGTAGTAACATAACACAGTATATAAGCAATTAAGGCTTAAGATGTTATATATAATCACTACAAAAATGATGATGAAGAAGAAGTATCTTGTGATATACAAAAGGATATATCTTACCCTGCGAAAAGACAAAGTTGGTATTACTACTAAGACAACCTCACAAATTTATATTTGGAAGAAAATCCTTTTTTTTTCAATATCCCACTGCTGCCACCATGCTAGTTTGACCAAAACAAACCAACACCAAAATGTGGCATTAAGATTAACAGTGCTTTCTAAATGACAACATGACCAAGCAATTAGTCATAACTAAAGAAGTCTTAACACAATACATTATTAATGATAAAAGTTTAATCAATACTAAGATAGGACAAGTTTATTTGACTGTACCGTTTTAAGTTTAGCATGTTAGTTCCCATTATGTGCTAAAGAATAGATTTTTTAAAAATAATTTGTAATAAATTAGCATCCTTTTCCTCAGCTCTTTATCAATGAAATGTAATTGTCTTTTTATTAAGAAATCCTACTTCTCATTATTTCAAACATTCATTATCTCCCTTTCCTCTCAAATTTTACATTATTGAATGCTTGGTTCACCAGGAGAGAGAATGTGGGTTGGTCCACCTAGGACCCTGGACACGGTGGCTGATGCGACCCCAACTCAGCAGGTTGGACAGCTCACCTGGCCTATCGTCAGAGACCTTGTTGAGAAACAAGTGTTTACGGTGGTACGTGTGATCACCCTCTAAAACTCCTCAGATACCTTTTCTTCATCTATAATATTACAGAAGCCTCCAAAGCTGGTATATCATATGTAATATTTTTAATTATGGGGGTATAGTGGATGAGAAGTTACAGCATTATTATTTAGCCATTAAGTCTAGTAGATGTGCAACTGGTTTTAGTACTGAACCAGGCTTTTTATACATGGAGGTGGCAAAATTATGCAGTTTAGCATTGAACTTGTAACTAACAGGGACAGGTTCTAAATTGAAAGAAAGACATTGCCTTTGGTAAATCATTAATTAGTTAGCCGACTAGGTGATCTTAAAGCTGTACGACGGTTCAGCGGATACGTGCTTGCATACTAGCATATATACATATCAGTGTGTATCACAGGATCCCTTCTATAATACCAGTTATGATAATGATAATAATAAAAATAAAGATATTGGTAAATTTACATAGCCCATTTTCCATACACAAGTTCGAATGCATTTGCATTTTAAAAATATGTTATCAACAGAACAGGGGAGTTTTGGGAGATATTTTTTAAGGAGAGATAATCAAAAGAGACTCTTCTATACTGAGTGACAATTTTTCAGGGCTAAAGTTTCTAAAATATCTTATTAATCAATGGGTTCATATTTATGTGATGTAAATTGAAACTTTTGTGCAATTCCTGTATATTAAAATAAACCACAGATAATCTAACTTTATGAATAAAATTTCAGGATGGTAAAATGTGAATAGCTTTGTGCTCATAGACATTTTGAGAAATATTCCTCTGTGATCAATAGTTATGTTTTGTCAAATTTTTGCAGAAAGATGATGAAATCATTTCAGCCATGAAGTTCACATGGACAAGATTAAAGGTTAGTTGAAGAAACTCTATATTTCATTATGAAATATCTAATTATGATTTCAGAATGGAGGTTGAGTCCTTCAAACAAGTGTACCCCCTCAAAAATAATCTGTGTAGGTTGGTTTTTCAGACTACCTTTGTCTGTGTATACTGTCCTACTTCTTAAAATGACAAAAATTTGCAGATAAGAGATTATTATATCATTCCTTCATTTGTGATCTCTGACTTTTGAAAATGTATCTTTCTTTGAATCTTTCGGAATTGTTAGCGACTTTTTTTCTGATTCCACTTAAGTCAAAAATCTGCAATAGTTTGCATATATCTCTTCTACTTTATCATTTTCTTGTATTTCAATTGCTACATCACCACCATATTTCTAATTCGGGAGATGAAACAACATCGCAGCTCTTTCAGCCACAATCATTGTTACAACCAATTACTAGCAGAGCTAGCTATTTTCTATTCATGACTATTTTCCTATTCAGCTGGTAGTAGAAGCAGCAAGTGCAGGTCCCGTAGCGGCGGTCTTATCAGACGAGATGAAAGCTGTCAATCCAAGTGTAAAGAATGTGGGAGTCCTCATTTGTGGTGGAAACGTGAATATCGATCAGTTGCCATGGTGATATTCAAGCTTCATGACATTGTACAATTAACACCTCGTCTGCAACAGCGAAGATAATTCTTGGGCTGATGACATTTTTTATGAATATCTATGTATTTTCCATACACAAATCACTTTTGACATATTTTGGTTGTGGTGTTCCCCTCCCTGCCTTGCTGATTGAAGATAGAACTCCGTATTTATCCATTCATCATTTTGCAGTGCAGTCCTTAGTATGCAGAGGCTTGACACTAACAGAGTTATGGTTGCATCTTTCAGGCGGATACCGGCGCTATATAAATATCCATATTATTATTATATGTCAAATTAAGGTTGCTTGAATGACAAAACATTACATGTGCTTGTGTTTGACCGTCTATTTGCAGGGGACTTTACATTTGCTGCCTTTGGTTCCTGGGAGCATTGATATATTTGCAATCATTTGCTGTGTTGGATAGTTCACAATATGTGACATCACATGGTGAATGCTCTAGCTGCATTCATAGGGTGCTGTTCAGACGTGGCAAAACCGTGACGTTTCTTTAAAAAGTGTTATACGTATCACATTTCTGTAATGTATCTTAGAACAGAGAGCTCAGTAAATATGCATAGCACCTATGTTGCATACAGTTGTCATTTATTTCCATGGAAAAAAACGTCATATCTGAACGAGTGTTAGCAAAAGTTTTCATAGTACTAACATCTAGATGCATTGCATTTTGTCTTGTTTGCTATTTTTCTAACCAGCTTGTCGTGGAAGCAGCAGGGGCAGCCCCTGTAGCAGCTGTTCTGTCGGAGCAGATGAGGGCGCTAGACCCAAGCTTGAAGAATGTGGGAGTGGTTTTGTGCGGTGGGAACGTGAATATCGATCGGTTGCCGTGGTGATGATGCCTTTCCCGCATCATCAAAAGTGTGTGATCTATTTCAGATATCATATGCTGAGAGCCACAGGAGCCTCATATTCTATGTTTCTATTTTTTGAAATCTGATACTATTTGAATAAACATGTATTTCCACAAAGGAGAATCAGAGGTTGAAGTATTACTTTGGCACAAATTATTCTTGGTGCTCAGCTTTTTTGTCAAATCAAAGACTCCTATTTATACTTGATACACATATTCCTCATTTTGCAGTGCAGTCTTTCATTGTATTCCTATATTTACTATAAGTTGCCATTAGGGAGTGTTAATAATGCATGGCAAATACTGCATCACATTTATGCAACCCTAACATAGATTGAAAATAAAAAGTGTGATGTGATCATATTGCAGAATTGGCAATGCCCCTGCCTTATTTGATGTTCATATGAGCACCTGGTGCAATATTCTGAAAAAACTAATTGTTTATCAATTATTTCTAGTCAGTGATGTACTATACCAATACTAAAGATTATTTCAAATCAATATTGGTAAAATCCTTTCAGCAGTCTTTGGCTTACATAGAACACATCACACATATACAGTGTAATGGCCAATGGAAAGTTATTTTCAATGTCTTTTCCATATGTTCAGCAAAAATAACCGCTCTTTGCATAGGTCGTAATAGCACAAAAATATGATAGAATTTCAATTCAAATTATTTAAATTTCAGAATACCACCTCAGGTGTCGTAGGGATGTCTATGAATACCAAATTTTGCACGTATTTGCATTTGATGTTGTCATGATGTTCGATTAGACATGATATTGATATCGATGTAAACAACAATGTGATCGAGAGATAATGTAATGCATTGCATGTTGCAAGGTCAAGAGGTCAAATACGGCATGTTACATGTTCGTCAAGCCGGAGCGGAAAGGATACAATAAAGACTATGAGACTCGTAATACTTGTGTTGAATTCCATTTATTCTATATCCTGGTTAGGATATGACATTGGCGACGAGGATGAAAGTCATATAGGACAATTGTAGATCTGTTTGAGAAGGAAAATGGCGTTTGGAGGCGCAGATATCAAGGGACTTAGGCAGTTTGATATGTCAGTCAAGTAGTTAAATGAAGTGAGTTGATCATACACTGCATATATTGTAATGTCAAGTTGTTTGAATATTCATTTCATGATGTGTATGATGAGAAATGTATAAGTTCTGAATTGGGAGTTCATTGTTTTAAAAACAAAAAACAATGTGTGTTTGGTTGAAGTTCAAGTTCAATAGTTCGAAGTCAAGTAATACACGAGTCGTTATTAGTATGAAAACAAACAAACGATATTTGGATATCGATGTGGTCAATGGAAAAGTCACATACATGTATTATATTGATACAAACAGTTCAAAACTTATTGCATGCTAAAACAAGTTTTGAAATCAGGGTTCATGATTATTCATTGAAGTAAAATGGAAAAGATATCTTTTAATCTGATAAGGGAGGGATGTCATGATGTTCGATTAGACATGATATTGATATCGATGTAAACAACAATGTGATCGAGAGATAATGTAATGCATTGCATGTTGCAAGGTCAAGAGGTCAAATACGGCATGTTACATGTTCGTCAAGCCGGAGCGGAAAGGATACAATAAAGACTATGAGACTCGTAATACTTGTGTTGAATTCCATTTATTCTATATCCTGGTTAGAATATGACAGATGTGTTTTTCTGATAACCATATAATTAAAAACTAGAGTTGTATGTATATTTGGGACCATAGCTATAGGTTGGAGCATCTCTGTGATCATGCATGCATGCTTTTAAGCTTTATGCTCATCCTATAATAAGTTGTGAAAAGAATCTTTTCAAGTCCTCTGATTAATTGTTCACAAGTGCTTCCATTGCCTTTATATCTTGCTAATAAAATGGCAGAGATTTTTATGGCAACATTATAAACATGTATTATACATAAATAGATTATCAGTATGTATTTTAAGGCAAATGAAGTGTTTGAGAAAACACAAGTATAACTGTGATGAGTTTTTGTGTATTTTTAATGTGTTTACTGCTTTTGTGCTCCTTTGATTTTATTTACACACATATACGTGTAGGTGTGTGTTAGGATCAAGGCTTTTCTGTCAAGAAATTGTGTAGATTCCCCCTTTTCTCAAGTTGTACGATTGTGCAATAATACCTTGGGTTAAATTAAAAAGACCATAATATTAAAGCAATAATGTCAATGAATAGATTCTGGTATTGCAAGAATAGTTATACAATGTGCATAGATTTAAAAGCCTATTATTCTCCTCAATTGCATTTTACATGTACTTGTGTATTCTCTCTCTCTCTCTCTCTCTCTTTAGCTCTCTCTTTCTCTACCTATCTCCTTTTCTTTCTTCATTTTTATCTTCCATCCTCTCTTCATCCTGTACTATTAGCCATCATTTATCCATACTTTCTCTATCTTGTATTTTGAAAGTTTGTTAAACTGCTCTGTCATCGGCACAAATTATGACAAACTCAGGACAAATTCATTTTTTTCTTAATTTATTGAATCAGTAGCTTTCACAAGATCATGTCAATTTGGACTATTAAATCATGTCCTTTATTTATTTAATAAAATTTAGGAAAGGGATGATTTTATATAGCTTAACACAATAATACATCTAGATAACTATTCATGTAAATGGTTTAATTGACGTATAAAATGCAAGTCTTGAAAAGGATGTGTATGTAACAGAGAAATAAATACCATTAACACAAATATTTCCAGAAAATCACCGGTGGGGATATGCAAGTCAAAACACCTCTGCCTTTTGAAATGTGCAAATATTACTGTTGGCCTTTTGATCAGCATACACTTTCTACAAGAAATATAATAATACATAGAAATTGCACTGAGGGAGCTTTTTGGAAATATTTGTGCTCATGTTTGTACTAGAATGAACCCACCAAGTATTTGCCTAAAACATAGAAAATATATATATATAATTGTGATGATATCATCTATAAATAAATTCAAACAAAATTGTATCTGTACCATGATGTAATGGTTTTGTTTTTTCTTCTTGTAAATAATTTTTTTTTAGTAGAATCGAAATAACACAGCAAAATTAATTTAAATTCACTGATGATAAAAAAAAAAATAAAAAAAAATCAAAATCAAAATCGAAACAAACAAACATAATAACTACATGTACATTTTGTATATATATCAATAGATATTGCACAATAATATCTTATACTATTAAATTAAAACCCACTGCTCTGAAAGCCAATAGAGTCTATATGTAAATACCTGTATTCTCAAACTCTGTCTAATGTGTTTTCAGACTATTGTCACTATGGCAACCAGGACATTTCTACATAAATCAGGTCAACATTTTTTCTGTCTTGCTGTCATGATTTGGTCCTAGTTTACAAGATATAACTTGGGACATAGAATGAAGAATTGGCAGTTCTTAAGCCTTAAAACATAATATAGATGTCATTTATATGATTGTCATTTCAGACAGTCTTTCAGTCTTTCTTGGGAAAGATTTTAGCACATCTGAGAGCTGGTGAAAAGTTTAGGATATCTTGTATTTACCGGTATATAACCCAACAGAAGAAAAATTGTACATTCACAGAAGGGAAAATGGAAACCTCATTCAAGATTGGCCGGCATACATGGGGAGGCTCGGTATCTCAGTGGTCTGGTATCCGAGAAGTCCCAGGTTCTAAACCAAGTCGATGCGCTAGTGCCCTTTGCTAAGGTATTAATCCTCATCACTAAGTTCCTCCGAGAGGACTTATATCTGTTGGTCCCCTGGTTGCTTGCTTACAAGCATACTTGTAAGGTATGACCAAATCTTCTGCTGCTTCACGCTACCCTTGAGCCTGAAGCACGGTTACTCAGTGAAAATTCACAAGTTGACACCAGACTTGCAGGTCCTTTTGGATGGACTTGTAACTAGAGGTTTTCTAGAGAGATTAGTGGAATTGTTGAGAATGATAAATAGGGCTTGTGGACTCTAGCTGTAGATCTGTCAACATACTCGCTCCAGCTGCTTCAAACTGCCTCCTGCAAGTTGAGCCAGATCTTGAAGTCCACAGGGTTGATTCCAGAGAGATCTTTGAATGGTGTGGTCCAGGATGAAGAGATGGGGGTTTGTGGATTCAAACCGCAAAACCATTCTCCAACCACTCTCCTGCTGCACCATGTCGTTATTCACCTGGAAGCACATTACCCAGTGAAACCAACAAGTTGACACCAGACATGTATTAAAGTCCTTTTGGATGGACATATATCTAGAGGGATTCTAGTGTGCTCCAGGATGGGGAGATGGTTTGTGGACGCCAACTGCAAACCAGTCCACAAACCCTCTCCTGGTGCTTCATATGTCCCTTCACCCTGAAGCACATTACCCAGTGACATCCCACAAGCTGACACAATCCTTTCGGATAGACACGTATCTAGACGTATTCTATAGAGATCTTGTAATGGTGTATTCCAGGATGGGGAGAAGTGGATGTAACTCTGACTGTAAACCAGTTAACACTACTGCTGCTTCACAATGCCCTTCATTCTGAAGCACATTACCCAGTGACATCCTACAAGTTGACACCAGATTTTCTATTAAAGTCCTTTTGGATGGACATGTATCTAAAGGGATTCTAGAGAGATCTTGTAATGGTGTGCTCCAGGATGGGAAGATGCCAACTGCAAACCAGTCTATGACCATTCTCCTGGTGCTTCACAATAACCTTCACCCTGAAGCACATTACCCATGGTCTTGAAGTCAATAACATAGAATAGAAATGAAACAGATTCTAGAGAGATCTTGGAATGGTAGAGAATGGTAAGATGGGGTTTGTTGACTCGAGCTGTAGACCGGTCAACATACACTCTCCCGCCGCTTCACACTGACCTGAAGCCTGAAGAACATTACCCAGTGAAATCCTGCAAAGACAAGGTTACAAGAAATGTTTATAATTGAGGTAAATCACAAAAACATAACAGTATACCCGGTACACATTTTCAAGAAATAATCTGAGATCTTGCCTCTAACAGGAATTAGGAAGCCAATCATACTTGGGTATCAAAATAAATACAGCATTCAATACTGACTGCAATCTGATACATTAGTTATGTTTACAATGTATATGCATACTTGGGATGATAAATATTACTGCCTTGATGTCAACAAAATAATAGGACTCAGGCTCTGTTTCATAAAACTTGTTATCAATAACAAGTAACATTACCTGTTAATAGCTTTAAAAAAAATCATTTCATTTCATTGTCTGAGAGCAAATTTGTCATAGATATTTGGCATATATTATTCATAATTTTTTTTAATGAAACGGGGCCCTGTTCTTACCAAGCCTGGTGCGATGTGGGGTCCATGTTGACGGCTTCTCTTAATATCCTCTCTGCCATAAGTAGGTTGCCTTGCTGAGTGTAAACACACCCCAGGTTTTGTAGACTGGTGATGTGAGAGGGGTTGATGGCCAGGGCGCTATCGTAGCCCTGCTTGGCATCGTCCCACTCTCCGTTGTGCTCATGAATGCATCCTCTCTGAAAATATGAAGACAGTTTTTTTTAATGAGATTAAACATCAAAATTTTACTTTACACTAAGAAATAGGAACAGTGATTGTTCCATGTTTTAAGCACCCGGTCACATTGCCTTTCTGGATGTAGTGGTGGTGGTGATTATTTTACCTGACTGCTAAGAAAGCATTAATGCTTGTTAGTAAGCAACCAGACGGCCGACGGCTTAAGGATGTAAGCACACCCCAGGTTTTGTAGGCTGGTGATATATGAGGGGTAGATGCCAAGTCCCTGTCATAACACTGTTGTGCACCCACCAACTCCCTGTTGTGTAATATGAATACACCTTCTCTGTTGAAATGACCAGTTCGTAGTTAGATTTAGTACAAAATGACCCCCAAATATCCACAGACCTTTTACACATGGAGGCATCCCATTTTGTCCACTTTAGCATAAACAAATGTTGGAGGTGATCCATGAATACCTTTGGCTCTCTTGTGGAGAATACTTCCACCAGTGTATCAAATGTATGACTGTATGTAAGGGTATTATTTTGCTTCCAAACATCACAAACAAAATGGCAAAAAAGCCAGAGAGGCAAGTCTTACCGTATGCATAACCTGATGCGAGAGAGGAAAGATGGACGATGCTTCCTGCACACAAGCCTTGGCCTCCTCTGGTCTTTCAAGACTCAAGTACAGCTCAGCTATAAATGAATGATAAATATTTTTTTTTAAATTAGACTATAATCAGTACATGTTTGGTGGTGAAAGGCCTTTTCTCATCAAGGATAACCCTCCTGTGTTTGAACAATGTAGTGTGGTTTCTTGTTCATTGCAGGGCCTCGTAAAGACATCCCACCGCTGCCACCATGTTTCAAAATCGTTTTAGTAGCATTTAAAGCCCCACTGTCCTACTTGTAGCTACTTGCTCCCTCTATATAGAAAACTTCCCCAATCAGTGCCTGTTGGTCCCCCATGATCCTCTTTTTCTTATGTTAGTTGAGAGCTGAGTTAATGAGATAGCCACCTGTCAGTAGCCTCACTGTGTGGTCTAATCCCCTCTGGCCCAGTAGTATTGATGGTCTTTAAGTGTCACAAAACTTAAGATAGTTCACACAGCGCATGTGTAGTGTAAGAGAGTAATTTATTACGAGTGAGGCTGTATGCTGCCCTCTTTTTGATATCAACATTATAAGTGTTCTTTTTTTAAATCTCTAAACAAAATTGTTACGATATCGAAAAGCTATTAAAATGAGAATATTTCAGGAGAAATATGGACAATATCTTTGCCCAAGAGCGCTGTGTATGGCAGTTCCCACACAAATTTTAATCTTTTATTCAATGTGCTTCAACTAAGGAAGAACCTGTCTTTCTATTCTAAACTGACATGTTATGTGAATTATAAAGATTAAACCATGGACCATCAAGTATCAGGATTAAACAATGAGAAAGGGGAAAGAATGAAAACAAAAAATTGCCACATGAAATATAATAAATATAAGTTTGTAATCTTCAACACTAGTAGCGGTAAGAGCACATGAAATCCATTAGATTTGATTTTGTATCCCTAGCACAAAAATTCAGTTTAGGGTGTTGTAATAGTACAATTCCCTTTGGCTTTATAGAGTAAGAAATATCTGTCTTTCTTTTCTTTTTTGCATTTCTTTATTCATTTGTTTATCTTTCTATCTATTTATTTATTTACTTACCAGTACTTACTTATATACTTACTTACTTATTAACTGACTTATGTAAATATTTACTTACTGACTTACCTAATACTTACTTACCTACCTACCTACTTACTTACTTACTTACAGGTACTTATTTATTCATTATAATATAAACACGATTAGCAGCCAATGGCTGAATTGTTCACATTTTACAAGCAAATTTTAAAAACACATAGAATACAATATTGCAAAACGGTCAAATGAAACTCTTACCGATGGCGAGCCAGATGTGAGCCTGGATCATCCAGAGCTGTTGAGATCCGGTCTTAGGGATGAAACTACCGGAAGAGGAAGCGACTTCGGATAGAGCATGCTCCACCCTGGAGGCAGCCAGAGAGTTGTGAATAGAACCTACATGTTAAAAAAAAGAAGTCTGTATTCAAATCATTGAAAGGGATAGTTGGTTTATTTAAGTCATCATGGAAAGAGATGTCAATGAGGATACTGGGGCCAGTATTTAATTCAATACATATTTTACTTCATTTTTGGCTTAGTAAAAAAACTCAGCCATCTTTGGTATTCAGTTGAAGCTTTTGGCCAAGTACTTTACCCTAAATTTAGAACAGCTCCCTAGCTGACTTTAAGCCAATTATTTTGGAGGCCTTGATTGGCAGGCATATAGTTTTCATACACAGTCATCATAAGGTGCGCACAATCAGTGTGCATTTAATGAGACCTGTTTACTGTGCATAAATTTGGATTGGTCAGGTGACATCACAAAGGCCATCAAAAAGTATTTTGCCTTAAAGTTGGCTTGCTAAGGCAAAATACTTATATTGAATAAGACTTGAGGCACTTTTCTTAGCTGATTTAAAGTGCTAAATAATTCAGGTACACACTGTATTGACCTTGGTCAACTAACCACAGGACGATGAATAACCACACAAGAACATAAAATGAGACAAAATTGAAATTTTTCAGAACATCTTCATGTAATTAATCAAAATTGGATATTCTATTCTACTATTAAACCAGATGTCCAGTCATTTTACTCTACTATGGTATTCATAGGACATCTCAGTGAATTAGGTCATGTACATACAAGGTTTAGGGAATTAGCATTCAAAACTGATTTCTAAAATATCAATTTCCTGCTCATCTTTGTTACTTATATAATATTACATGATCATATGTAATAAAAATCTTAAATCTCTTACTGTAGAATAATGGTTGATGCATATTTCTATTTAATACGATATATATTCTCTAATACAAGTACAATTGTAATACAAGTAAGTAATTGGGAATGCAAACAAAAATAATCACATGGGCATGCTTCACTGCAAATTAAATACATTATAAAGCTGGGGTAACCAAACGCACATCCTTCTTTATCATCTGTAATAAATACATCCCTAATTTTCATCTAACATTAAGAATTGATAATACCAGAATATAAGAATAAGTATGTTTGTACATATGAATGAATAATTGAATATGTACCAATACCATCATACATGCATGAATCCAAATTGCAATTGTAGTCAACTGTTTAATAAGTCAACTGTTTAATGTATCAATAGTAATAAATTAACACTGAATAATGTTGATCAATTATATTATCAGCTCCATTGAATACCACACTCGATTTGACTAAAAAATACCAATAACGTCCATTCTTTTTCCATTTTGATGACAGGATTTCCAGGAGTAAAAAGGCTTTGAGCTCTCTATATTAAAGATTAAATTATAAATTATATAATCATGGTCATGTGCTGATATGGAACATGATATCAAATTTCACATACGAACATCAGTTTTATACTGGATTGTCCTGGAAAAGCATATAGCTAGCTTTTGAAAAGATCTAAATATGATTACATAGTAAAAATATTATACAAACAATATATCTGTTTGAGGTGCATGAATATTTAAAGTACCTTACTTCTAGGATACTTTGATTTTAATATTCAGACAAAAAATCAACCCAAAATGAATGAAAAATGCCACAGCCCCTTGTACCCAGTTCTATCATGAGAGGCAATTGCAATTAAATTCTTGTGCTATGTGTGTAAATATTTGAATGGTATGACATGATAAGAGATATGTCAAATGAACAAGTGATTAAATATACACTTCAAATGCCGAAAGCAGAACTTCAATATGTTCTATTCAGTTTGCTTTATTTGCATAACTGAATAGCTTTGATTATAATATTATACAAATAATTCATGCTTGCAAGAACATTATTAGTGAATATACGCTGCACGTTGGTTTATAAGTCAAAATTAAAGAGACTGGTCGAGTTCATTATCCAGCTAATAGTGACTTAAGGTAATAACCATGTGCAGTGAATATCACAAATGCACAAGCTTCAAAACATGAATTATTTGTTTTGTAAAACGGGTCGGAATAGAAGTCGAAAAATAAGCAAAATCCCTGCTCAAAATACCAAGAATCATATAGTCATGGGGGCAGCAAACAGTGTAGTGGGCGTCTCAGTGTGTACATCTATATTCTTGCTATTCAAAACCATGTGCATTTCATTGCGCCTTAATTTTGTATGCGTCAGAGATAAGTATACGTGCATCTCAGCAGTGCATTATCACTGTTAGCCGTGGGTTATCACTTTTTAATGGGAACTTTTTGCACGGTAGGTGTGGTAGGAAAGAAGGATGCATGGTCATGTGGTGTCATCTGACCAATTAGACTGCCTACATTTCTTAACACGTTTTATAACATCAAATATAATGTTGATCCACTTCACATATATAATCAACATGACCTAATGCTACTGCACAAAATCAAATGCAAATTTTGTATGAAAACAAAACCAAAACGAAGCATGGATAGGAATGGATGAGTGCTACACGATAAAAAATATAAAAAAAGAGAAAAAATATACTGTCTAAGATGGAAAATAATGTCAAATGAAAAAATATCTGTCCATGAGTATGCTATATACAAACATAGGCCTTGTTCAGATACGAAGCAGGAAAACCGTGGCGGTTATTTCATGATGGCATGAAGTGTAATATCTGCCAAATATCTGTGTTGTGTTCAGTTGCCATTCATTGACATATTACATCAGTCTTAAAAAAACATGACATTTTTTTTCCTGTGACGGTTTACTGCATCATATCTGAACGTGCCTTGAGCATGCCATTGAATGGAAAACCATACTTACTTTTGCCTCTTTCACTTCTAGCATCTTTACATTGTTATTTATGATAGAGGAGTATGATTAGAGAGAGAGAGTGAGAGAGAGAGAGAGAGAGTGAGAAAGAGAGAGGAGATGAAGAGACACACATACAAAAGGTATGAAAGGTTCGGAATGTATTCCCTACCAAAGGCCTGTTCACATATGTCAGTGCTGTAAACCATTATGGTTTACCGAGGCAAAGGTGAACACGCCCCAAAACATATTTAACTGTCTCTAGAAATGTGACCTGATGCTGAAAGTATGGAATTATTGACCAAATCACACTTTGATTATAAAGCGTTCAATGATATTTGATAATCAAACACTGGTATGGTTTTCTGCACACATTTTTCTTCTTTTTTGTTTGTTTTTAATTTGCAAACATATCTGTCATTTAGATACATACAATGTCCTTCATTGACTTTTAAACAGGCCACAAAATCATTTAAACTTCAGTGATGAAAGAAATTAAAAAATACATAGGAAGAAGGTAAATGTGCCAGCATTCCATTTTTCTGCATTTGTCCTTTTTTTATCACCCCTACAAGAAGATGTATTTGATCTTTGCTGAGCATTATCATTAAAATTGACATGAAAGATTGACGACACTGTACATACAATGTAGCAAAGAATGAATTCATTCAGATGGAAAATGTTTGTTTTTTACAGAATGTATTGACACAAAGTGGTAGATACAACAACAATCTAACAACTACAAAATGAATCTTTTTGTAAAGATCGCAATGATAGGGAATGAACAGACGATGTATGCCAAAATCTTTCTCAAATGGAATAATAACATGAAGCAAAGGACTACAGATATATGTAGTCCACTCAATGAAATTCAAGAGAAAAAACTTCATCATATCGAATAGTTTTATACCATTATTGATATATTCTCAAGAACAGTATTGAAGAGATAAAAGACATAAAAGAAAATCTCCTACAAATTGGTGATATGAGATATAACTATTTCTTTTGAGAGTGTGTGGGTGAAAGAAAAAGAGAGAGGGAGAGAAAGAAAGAAAGAGAGAGAGAGAGGGAGAGAGAGGAGAGAAAGAAAAAGAGAAAGAGAGAAATGGGAGAGAGATAGGAGAGACAGAGAGTGTGTGAGAGAGAGGAGGAGAAAGGAGAGATTGAGGAGAGGGCAAGATGGAGGGAGGGATGAAGAGAGAGAGAGAGTGGGTGGGTGGGTGGTGGGGGAAGTTTTTAATTTTCATACCATTGATGATAATTTCATCATATTTTATACACCCAATAATCACCTAGAAAGATTTCATTTTTCAGTGTTATTCTTCTTTGTGATATACAACATGCCCCGGTGACAAAAGCTCTGTAGTGCATACCGGTATCCCACACGGGACTAATATCTTAACTTTAAACCTTGAACAGACACTTTACCTTACTCTATCCCTAACCTTAAACCTTACATAAAAAACACTTGCAGACCTAACCCAAACCCTAAATCTATGGCGATATAATACCTAGAGCTGTTTTCACCGGAGTGTAAGTCAGCGCTCCTTCTGCGCATCGATTCATTTTTAACATGCGTTTTAGCCTAAACAGGACAAAGAGAATAATTGCATGTTGGAAAGACAACATAATCAACACATTGCGAGGTTGCATTCCTCCTTATTATTGACCAAAATCATACATGTTGCAATAAAAAATTCAAAAAAGAGGAATAAAAAAACGATACTTCCATGCTGAATGCATAGCAATAGCATCAATTATTTCAAGAACTTAAAAGCAGCCTGAATTTTTTGCAATTATAATTTGAAAGGAGAGAAAATAATTTTGTTTTGACATTCTCTTAATAGGATAGATGCACAGATTGCTTTAACAATGTCTTATTTTTTCTTGAACATGAAATGAAAAGTTTTTAGAAAGTTTGGTGCTGAAATTCAAACCGCTAAACACATACACAGCATCATGAAGGGCTAGTCCACCTTCAACTTTACATCCTTAAATTGACAAAGATTGAAATTCATAGAACCTGTGCCTCGAATTCAACAATATTTTAGAAGCAATTGTTTAGAAAACTCAAATTCAATCTGGAAAAAATCTTTTTGAAAACCCATTATCATTTTTAAGATGCAGAACTATTAGACATCTTTGATTAATCTTTGATAAATCAATAAAATAAAAAAGGGTCTGTATCGTTTAAAGGGAGAAGGAGCACATGGAAAATAGACTCTTTCAATATTTTTCTACATATCACTGCAGTGTTCCCATACACTCTGTTCTACAGAACAAAATCAAAGGTGGACTGTCCCTTCAAAAGACAATACAAATCTCAAACACACACACACCGGTGATCGGACACTCGCTCTGGCGACAGTTACTCTGGGCTTTATTTCATGAAAGATACAGAATTGGGAAATGTAAGGACTAGATAGGGTAAGGAAAAGGTACAGTGATAGGTCCAGCATTGAAATGAGGAATATGGTTAGTGCTAGAAACAGGCCACAGAGCAACTGCGGCAGGAGCATGTGTCCTGGAACCCACCCTCCCCCCCCCCCCCTTCCTCTACCCCCAACACTCACACTGCCATACCCAGACACAGAAACAACGGAGATGTTTTACCTGAATCTCTATCACTGTACTCGGCTAGGTGCATCTGAACCAGGCTCCTCCTGTCCGACGTGACTCGTTCAATTAGGCCTGTACCTCGACTTGAACTGCTATACTCGCAGGAAATAAAAAACAAATTTGTTTAAATCTTACTAGCTGAAAAGCAGCTCATAGTTCTTTTGAGAAGGATGACCCGAGAAAATGTTATACTCCTATTGCTTTGTACACAAGAAAGAATATTCATGGCTCCAGGAAAAGCAAACCGAAATCCACAGAAATGAAGTAAAAGTAGCTTAACTGGTGTAAAAAACAAGCGATAGCAAAATAATAAAAATTGTCACAATATTGCGATATTGTGATAGCGAATACATTTTACTGAAATGTTTAGGGTTGGTCGACTTACGGCAAAACAATTTTTTTTTTTTGGGGGGGGGGGTGGGGGGTGGGGGGGCCTTACCTGTGCTGGACTGCTTCATAGCCGACCCTCCAGTGTTCCAGCATCTGTTTACATGTGACCAAGGCTTCCTCTGGCCCTAGATGGACCTCCTCTAACTTGGCTTTGGTGAACTGGAGGCTGTCAATATCAAAATACATATTCAGCAAATCATTAGAAAGTGTCGATACTGGATACTATAAATTCAAATGCATTCACAATGAAATACTGACAATGGTCATAATTAAAATGATCACTCACATTCATTTTCATTAAGTTTACTGTATGTTGCTATATAAAAGCAGATTTATTACGATTCTCTGACTCACATTAGGCCTCTTCCAACTTGGCTTTGGAGAGCTGGGACCCGTTTCACAAAGTATTTTTTCAATGAAAAATGACAACAATCAGTGACCAATCTGCTGATAACCAACCAAAAGCAAGGATATCAGTAGCTTATAACAAAAACTTTCATTTGTCACTGATGACAAGATTTGTGAAATGGGGCCCCGGAGGCTGCCACAATCAACCACATTCCACAAAAAATTATTGACAGTCACTCAAAATTAAATGACTATTCATATACTTTTTTCTTTCAAATTAGAGTTCAATAATGGCCAAAAGTACAAGGACAGTGTTAAAGGTGAAATTCAAAGAAAATCACAAATATGTCAACTAATGTATCACTAAAAACTGGTTAGCTAACAGATGGCCATCGTACAAGTTTGAGGTCAGTTACATATCGGGTGATTTATAAAAATAAAAATACAACCACCTCCATAGCAGCTAGGATATACGAGAGATTCGCCAGAAAAATAACGATGTTTTAATGACGTCATAACAGGGACCAATACTGCCCAAGCAGACAACATCCCATAAAGAATGAACATAATTGCAAAGCTATTATTTCTCAAATTATAATGAGTTTAGTGTATATAAATGGATTGGCATGTCAAACCGATCAAAAGGGGACATGACCCGATTCTGATAACTAAAATCTTTTGCTTGTAAATACTCAGGATAGGGGTTAATTAACAATCAAATAAACCAGACTTTCAAATTGAAAAGCCCCCGGATTGATATTAAGGACGGCATGTGTTCCCTCTTGAAACGCCGAACATACCCCGGTGTGTGCAGCTGAATATACAATGGCGTCTTATTTTGTTTACAAGCGACAGATTCCTTTATTTTTGTATCGCTGCATTTGTCATCAAAATAAAACCATGCGCGGGGTTTAGAGTGATGCAATAGATTATACATTTAGCCTGACGGTAGTGAAGTAAGAGAAAGAACTCAAGAGAAGATGAAAACACAGGCACTGAAAATGTGTGAGATGTCATGGGACATCGTCTGCTTGTGCAAATCATGTCCCTGCTGTGATCTCACACATCTCAGCAGCGTTCGGAGAGCTATTTAGGTGCTATGCCGGGGCTGTATTTAAGCGTTTTGTAATTTATAATAATCATTACTTCGAATGTTTCCAAGCATTGAATTTTGATAACCTTGTCGAATCAAAGTTTCAACTTTGCAATAATGAAAATAAAGCTAGATTTAAAATCAATGAATATCTACTTTAAGAAAGTAAATGAAGAACCTCAAACAATAGAGAGACACTTGACATGAAATACATGATGCAAATAATCAATTTAAAAGGGGGTTGACTCGTTTCCTCTCTTCCCCTAAAACTGTAACATGGGAAAAGGGATCTATCAAGCTATGTAGATGACATTCAATCAACACTGAATAATCAAGCACATACTTATTTCCTCATAAAATTCACTGGTTTGTTCAAAATACTTGCGAACTAAACCTCAACATTACAGTAAAGGCTACAACAACTCTACAATTCAACAGTATAGTAATCATCATCAATAGTGATCTGTCAGTTTATGACAGGTTCAGTGAATTCTACATCAAGTGTCTCTCCAAATACCTCGGTCTTGAGCCATTCATTTCAGCATTTCATATCCTGTTGCTCCACATTCTGTGATTAAATCATCTAAAAAGCCTTTATAATACATATCATACATTCAAATTAAAGAAACTTTCTTACTTGAAGTCGTCTGGATACTGGAGCACTGCTGCCTCCAGGACTGAGAGGGCCTCTGTGTATTGTTTCTGAGCAGACAACAGAAGGGCCAGGAGATGCAGTGATTGAAGGTCATCGGCACACAGCTGCAGGGCCAGGCGAACCCTCTGCAATGCTTCTGGTATCTGAAAAAACCAAAGATTTTGATAGACAACATTGGTTGTTATCTCATAAAATTATAGCATGTAATATAAACAGAGGAGTTGCCCATGTCAAAAGATTTTCTAATAAAAAAATGTCCTTTTTTTAGTGTTTATCCCAATTGATTTTGTGATTTTTGTGCGTAAAAATAATTTCTTATTAATTAAATTTTAAAAGAATTACTGTGACTTTTGTTTTATAAGACAGTATTAAAGAGGGTTAGAGATGAAGTAATAACACAAATTGGCGTACAGCCATTTAGCAAGATAAACTCCCTGTAAAGCTTATGGGATACACAAATTGAGAAAAAAAGTGTAAAGGGACAGTGTTGATGGTATACTAACCCATGTATTTTTATATCAACAGATTTCAAAAGAATCAATAACAAATTAAAAAAAACAAGAACTAAAATTCAAAACTTCTTGTTGGTAGTTTCATTTTCACTTGGGAGGGGGGAGGGAGGGGGTTATAAAACTAGTTGATTGTTTCTTTTGCAAAATCAAAATGAAACAACATCTGTCCAGTACCTGTCTGGAGAGTGCTAACTGCATGGCCATCTGGAATTGAGCCATGTGATCATCAGGGTCCAATGAGGTGGCTTGTTTGAAACAGCTCAGTGATTTACGCTGTAGCTCACATCGCTTGTCTTGTCTGGTGGCTGTAACAGTGAGAAAACCGAACAATATTGAGCTGCTGAGAAATGGAAATATAATGACAGATGCCGCTTTTAAGTATCGGCTTCCATGGTGATGGAGGTCCTGCTGTTTGAAACGTCGAGTGCCTCCTACCACCCATCCGCTTCTTACTACCGGCGCTATAATTCTTTATAAAACTACAAGCGTAAGATGGATTACACCAGTCCTTCTTGGACTACCACAGTCCTTTTTAGGACTCCCCAATCCTCCCCTCTCGCATGGTGCAACCGCAAGCCTACTATATAAATATAATGGTAGTTCTACGAACATTCGACTGGGAAAGTAGAAACATTGTGTGAATGTGTGCTTAGAAATCAAAACGAATATCACTGAACATTTCTTTGCTTAAACTCAAACATTGGAGATGTTAGATGAAGGAAAAAAGGGAACATACAGAACATTTTCAATTCAATTTCAGTTCATTTAAAACACGATGATGCTCAGAATTTCCAGTCTACCAATACAAGATTAATGATTATAGAAATGAACAGATTGATGGTAGATATGTATCATAACTGAGGAGCTTATAGTAGATCATGACTGTTACCATATTAAGTGAAACAGGATGGATCAGGAAGGAGATTTATAGCACACAGAATGTTTCTATAAAGACAGAAATAGAAAGTCTTGAAGTAGAAAGAAATAGAACAAATGCAGAAAGGGGAAAGCCAATCTTCAGGACCACCATACCTTCTAGTGCCATCATGCCGTATGCTAGCCCCTTCATCATGTGACACCTTGGGGCCAGTGGTTGCTTGCCCACTTCTACTGCCTTGCTAGCAAACTCCAATCCTTCCTCCAGCTGAAAATAAAAATACGATAAAATTCTCATCATTATTACATTCAGTATGTCAAGGATAAGGATAAAAACAGTGATAAAATAATGCCTCTGGCACCATCTTTGGCAGAGGTATACCAACAGTAAACAAGATGAACGCAACTGCGTCTCCTATATGACTCTGCCTACCAGTATGTCCAATGATCAGTGATCCTGTAGCCTCTGACCTCTGACCTCACGAACCAAAACTCTTTTACACTGAGTTAACGCCATTCATTCTCTTGATAGATTACCCATGTTCAATTCTTGTTCTTTGTATGATCATTACTACTTTCAGTATGTCAAGGATAAAAACAATAATAAAACAATAATAAACAAGATGAATGTCACTGCATCTCCTATTTGCCTCTGCCTACAAGTATGTTCAATGATCAGTGATCCTGTAAGCTGTAACCTCTGACCTCACAAACCAAATCTCTTTTACACTGAGTTAATGCCATTCAATCTCTTCTTCTTCTGATTAAGTCTGCCTTCTCAATTTACTGAAGATTCTTGCAAACTATGTGTGTGTGTGTGTGTGAGTTAACCACAATTTACGATCATTCGATTGCTATTTACATTATAATACAGTTTATTTACAAATACTTACAAGCTCATATATAGATTACCCATGTTCAATTCTTGTTCTATGAATGATCATGTTCTATGAAGTAATTACATGTTTCATCTTTTGCCTGGATGACTCTTCAAATATAAAAGTATCAAACTTGATAGGGATTTTGGGCTTTCATGTAATTGTTGTAAGACTCTGATCCTGTCACCATTGTGAAATAGATATATCCATTTGTACCCAGATCTCTTCCTTCATACCTGCTGGAGATGCTGTAGACACACTTTGGCAGCAAGTAGCAACACTGTGACATTGTCCGGCTGCACGTTGCTGCAACCTCGCAGAACCTGGAGGGCTCTGTCAAACTGTATGGGCACAATAACAAAAGAAGATTGTTCAAACTACTTAGAAAGGTGAAACTACAACAAAAGATGGATGTTTTAAACAGATTCTTGTATTTAATATTTGCTCTGCCACCAAGTTGACAAAAATGTGTCATTAATAGAATTTCATACAACAACTAATCATTTGTTTCAACATATTTGTGGCTTATACTCAGTAAATAAGATCGATTGATCGATCCGTAATTGGAAACAGGTCAGAAAAATTCTTGGAACCAGTTAGATGTGAACCTGCCATGTACTGCTTTTTTGTTCTGACTTGTTTTCTATTTCAGATCGACCAATCAATCTTATTTACTGGGTGTAAGCCACAATTATGTTTAAACAATTGAAATTTCTTCCAGGAAGCATTACATTTATAAAACTAATCATTTATGTCAACACTGTCTCATACTGGTAAACTTCACAAATTATGAGCCTATGATCAATTTTAAGAATAAACAAAAGCTTTGCTCAGCCCAAAAATATGAAATAATATGTTAAAAGCTGAAAGCGTCTAAAGAAGATCAATAGGCCCTCTGTATATATTGTTCCCTTCTGGTGGAAATCTTACAGTATGCAGTATTCATTTTCACCTGACTCGGGTAGATTTCTATTTATCACAAAAATATCAATTAAATTGGACCTACCTTTCCACTGCTGATGAGAGACAGAGCAAACTGCATCCACAGATGGAACTCTTCAAATGAAAACCTCATGGTTCTGTCAAGGGTCTGTGAAAAAATAATGAGCACAAGACATTAGAATGAGACCATTCAACCCATTTAAAAAGATTTGATTTCTATTTAAACATGTATTTTCAACAGACCCAACCACAAGATATCTTGGTCATCATCATATGGAGTCAACACACGACTACATCCCAATATCTAGCAGAAAGTAAGTTGGCCTCTGCCAGGTCACTCCCAGTGCATGTGTCATTCAGTAGGTCACAGCTTAGTTTAATAGATGGTCCATGGCCCGGGGGTCCTGCCTGCAGTCTTGTGAATTAGTGTCAGTATACCCCCAAGATAACTTGGTCCAAGTCATCAGTCGGTTAAAATTGTGAAACTACAATACATATGTATTTAGGACATATAGAAAGAGTTTGGCAATTACTAAAAATTAATTGGTAAGACAATCTGTCATTCTGTACAATCAATAGAGGGAGATTTCCGTTGCCACACAATGCTTTCTGACATAAACACAAGCTAATAAATAACAAATTTGGTATCAACCAATCAGAAGCAAGGATTTCAGTAGCTTTTAACAAAAACTGTCATTTGTCATTGATGACAAGTTTTGTGAAACGCCCCCCAGTTGTTATGAAATCAAGAAAAGTTTGTTTACCTCCGACAGCATTTGATATTGCGCCCTCCTAGTCAGCGCAATGGTAAGAAGGTCATACACAGCCGTGGCGTTGAAGAACGTGTGCTGTCTGCTCTGACTATACTCCTTGGAACGACTCAAGACGACATCTCGATTTACCTGCACGACATAGACAGTTGACAGAGAATAGTTTAAAATAAATACCCAGTGCAATGCCATTTAGAATTTTTTCGCACAACTAAAAATGATTCTGCATTTTGAGAAGAACTGTCTTTGAAAATTGCTGACCATGTATTACACACACATCTCCATTTGAATTATTTGTACCGGCGACATGTACTAAAGAAGACTTACAGTAAATCTTATATTTGTCAACTGAAGGGCACACACAGAGATCCATATTGGGACAATTGATTGACATGTAGTACTGACATGTTGTCCTTTTTTCTTTGATCACTATTCATTCGATCATTTTGAGGACAATAGAACAAGTACCGTTAGTTGTTTTGTTCTGTCGACTATGGTACAGACTCGACTTTTTTTATACAGAATTCAACCATAATAATTCTTCAATTTTGTTTTAAAGGACCTGAAAGTGGTGAGTTTTGATTTATTATATTATTGGAAATAATTCATAGCTTTTGATGCAAAATTGTGCACAGATTAAAGTTCTGAATGTGAAAAATGAATTCATAAAGGATGATGGCAATGTGTTTCTGTTGAGAATTGACTTTCATAATCCTCATGTAGAGTGCATCATCTTTAATGAGACTTAAGTTTGTATTTGATGAGTTTCAAAAGTAAGGTGAAATAGCAAAGGTTTGAAATGTGCATGTGTGTTTGAATTTTCGTGAAAGGATGACATGTACAACAAAATGTTTAATTATATCATACATCTACAGAAGCTTCTGAATAAATTATTGAATGATAATAAATGGTAGTTTTCCCAGTTCTATCATCAGGAATTATTTGTTCTGTAATGAAATACTTGTGAGGATTACTACCTTAAGTACATGAAGCCCAAGTGCAATTCTACAAGTTCTAAAAGAACTTTCATATTCTATGAGTGTGTTGCTAAGTGATCAATGGCTATGTGAATGAAAGGACTGTATGTCAGTGTACAGGGTATATTAAACAAAAAATATGAACTGCACTTTCAAGCAAATCATACTAAGATTGCATCGTTTCCTTTGATAAATTTATCACACAAAAACGTCATGAAGTTAAGGCACCTGAGAATTCATCAAGATAGTATTGTTGAAGGGTGTCATTACAATTTTCAATATCCTTCAAAGACATATCCAACCCCCCCCCCCTTCCAGAGGTCCTGACCTTAGGCAATGTTTGAATCCATTTTTTTTTTAAATAAGAAAAGTCAACTAAATCCAGTACATGTTGTAGTTGTTTAGTGAGTATAGGGATAGGGTAATGTGAATATTGGTTGCTAGATGATTAAGACTCCATTCACTAAAAATTCCATCACCTATTTCACATATGGTCTGCCAAGGTATTGCAAATTTGTGCATTTATTTTGTTGAGCTTTACAGTTCTAATACATGTTGGTGGATATAAATAAGCAGGAATTCATGAAACAGCATGTATGTAACCTATGATATACATGTATGAATGGTATCAAGCAAAAATATTGCGATATCTGTAACAGTTTTAAAGCAATGAAAATCTTAATCATAAGAGGTAGTTAGTTACACCCTGTAAAAGCATTTTAGACATTGTTGAGAACATATCTTCTTCTTCTTCTTCGTTTGATATTATAATGGCTATTAGTCAATTTTGACTATTGTTGCCAATTTCATCGCATCTCTTTCTTTTAGTGTCTTGGTAAAAAAATAAATTTAAAAAAATCCAATCTCATTTTAATTTTAATATAATATTAGTCATAGGCTACCCAGTGTTATGTAACAAAATACAAAAAACAAAAAAACTATTTCAAATTAAACCACGATCCGCATATATTCATCTATGGTATAAAATAAAGTGAAATATAAAAAGAATTGTACAGATATTTTCTTTAGAGTACAAGTCAGCATTCACTACCACTAATTGACAGGAATTTCTGAACATTGTCTGTGTATGAATACCAACGTGGACAATTATTTGAATACACTGTGGAAACAAACATTTAAATAATGAAGTGACTTTAACAGTGTATGTGCACATGTAGTGTATTTTGGGGGGAAATTACAAGCTAAAATAAATACATGTACTGCATGATCTGTTTTTCCATCATACACCTAGATGTATGTGCATGTGTAATGTTTTGAAGACTACAAACTACAAACAGAGACTGAATATTTAACAAGTGAAACATAGATTACAATACCGAAGGCAGGTTCATCTATGGTATAAAAGAAAGATAAAACATCAAAAGAAGTGTATAGATACCTCTTTAGAGTACAATTTTTTACAGGAGCATGCATATACATGTATGTGAAAGAGAAGTGTCTTACACATGCGAGTGAAGGTGCTATTTAAATTTGTGCATTTCATGCAGTATAATATATATATATAGACAAGAACAACATTTTTAGAATCCAACCTTGGTTAAAAACACATCAATATTCTCAAAAGAGGCACATGTATTCAAGTATTTCTACTTTATCAATGTTTTAATATTAATTCAAATTTCCAACTGGAACATTGATTTTGAGGAATATTTAGGGATGAGTAAACTGATTGGGTAGAATATGAAGAAAGTTTATTAAATGTTTATAAAAATGTATAATGAGATAGCACACACAACTAGCTGTAAGGTCGTAGGATCTTTACACATAGAATTTCCAGTTCATTAGACATTTCTACACCATTTGTTGTAAATGTTTATAATTGATTTGTAATGTTTTGTTGGAAACATAATTAAATTAAAATTCAAATCATGCTGTTCCCACATTTTCACAACACAAACATTTTGACAAGTGATATAAACAGAAACATTAATATCTACAAGTAACACAAGAAAAAAAGTTCTAAAAGAACACATCAAATTTACTTTGAAATCAAATATACAAAATAAGTTTAAAAAAAACAACTTACTTGTAGTTCACTGATTAACAGCAGAAGGAGGGCTTCTTCGCCGACACTCTTTGGTACAAATAAACTGTGAGGATAAAAGAGCAATATCTTGATATGAATTTGAATAGCTATTCTTGAATTTCCAATAGAATGTGCCAGGGTAATCACTCCATTCCTTATGAAATCAAGACCAAACCAAGTTGGTGTACAGCCACACTGTCCTACTTGTAGCTACTTGCTCCCTCTATATAGAAAACAATGCCTAATAGGTGACCATTGGTCCCCCATGATCCTCTTTTTCTTATGTTAATTGAGAGCTGAGTTGATGAGATAACCACCTGTCCAGTGACCTTGTAGGGTAGTATATTCCCTCCTATAAACCGGGACAGATAAGCTTTAAGAGTTGGTCATTAAAAAGTTTTTTTTTAAATTCCCCTCAATATTTCAAATACAAGACAGAGCTTTGCAGAGTAATGTGAAGAAGAGAAGGGAAAGAGCAAGGAAGATTTATATATATATATATATGTATACAAAAACAAAGCAGTAAATAAAGATAATAATGATAATAATAATAATAATAGGTCAATGTGATTCACAGTCAGGTGATGTATCCCCTAGACCATGACACCTCGAACAATATAATGAAGTATATATGATAAATATAATAAAATGAATAATATAATATGAATATAATTCTATCTACAGATTTAGACGAAATTGAAGAGAGATATTGTTTGTAATAAAATTTTCCCTGTTTTTCAGCAAACGAAAAATATACAATGAATGTGCCATAACATACTTATTAGGAACATGATACCATGTCATCACCTTGCAAGAACAAGAAAAAGTAGCATATATAACCATACTCGAAACCTGAGATATTTTGTATCTATATACTATATACTGGGTACGTTGTGGCTGTGGCTGGGTACTAGGCGTTGTGGCGTGCGCCTGTAATCCAGCTAAAAAGTGGAAGTTACAAACTGATTCAGCCGAGGACGCAGGTTCGAAACTGAGTCACGTCTTTCGGATGGTGACGTTTAAAGGTCGGTCCCAGACGTAAATAATCATATCTGATTGATACACGTCTGTAAAAACCCAATACACACACACACACACACACACACACGATTAAACTGCTTAAATACTTCTAAATGAAAATTCTATCATTAAATGTAAATTCTATTATTACTTTAATAGATTTATGATTACTATCTTTCTAGAACAAGCTACCACAAAACAATCAAGAAAGCCATTTACGAAAGAGAATTGTTTTTTGGGAAAAGCATATGACCTTACAACAACCTATTTTTAACAATGAATTTTAACTCTGGTGTGAAGTACTGTGCTGTGTATGACTCTGATATTCAATGATTTAGACTGATAACAAGCATGCACTGATATGAATGTGTCTTCTAGACTTCTACTGCTGCTGCCTATCAGCCTAAATCATCTACTTTTAATTTTGACAGATACTCACAATATGTCTTTTATGGTTGATATTGATATCAATATTAAATTACAATTGATATATCTTTTTTGAAGATGTAAACACATGTAGCCTAACTAGATTATGGATGCTAATTATTTGTGACAATAGAACATTGTAGGGACATAGGGACGCAGCACATAGAGACATAGTTGAGATATGTACGATATAAATATAAGCATGGTATATTATTATTATCATAATCATTATCATGACCGTGACCATGACCATTATCATTATCATATCATTACCATTACCATGTCCATTACCATTACCATTACCATTATCATATCATTACCATGTCCATTACCATTACCATTATCATTATCATTATTTTTATTATTATTATTCCATATATTCTAGAGAGCAAAGTGTGCCAAAAAATTTGATTCAAACAGTGTCATTTTGATCTTGATTTTCCAAGTCTGTGCACTTTACACACAACTCAGGATTTTTAATTTGAAAGATAGTATTGCACTTAAAAGATAGTATAACATTTCAAGGCTTGTGGATAAAAAGTACTAAAATGATAAATTTCTCACTACTGGTATATTCAATTGTTTTAAATGAATGCGCATCGCTGTAACAAAGACAGATTTGTGTTTGGTTGCATGTTTCGTTTTATCAGAATCGCATATTCTGCATATATGCGTAAACATGGCCACTCTAGCCATAGATTCACACATATATCTTTGTGATCTCTCTGCAAAGACACCACTAATGAGCTGACACTGGCTGATGAAATCACTGAAAACAGATGTAATTTTTCATGAAAATTATAATAATAATTAGATAGATTCATATAGCACAGCTACTATTTAAATATACTCTACTGCCCTGGGATTAAAAAATAAATTTAAAAAAAAACCTCCAAACAGTGCTTCACGGTTTCACCACAAAGTTATTTAAAAACTTCAACAAAACTTTGAAGACAGTAAGTAAGTTATGTGCATACGGATGCAATTCAAAAGATATTAATTCAGTAAAATAATTTTAGACTTGACCACTCAAATCTTTGTAAACAAGCAAAAGTATGTTAACTGTAATTCCATGCCTTATTGGCAACCAATGTACCTTGATTAAAACAGGTGTAATATAGGAAAACTTTGAAGAATTGGACACAAGTCTTGCACAAGCATTCTGAACACGCTGCAACTTCATTATTCGTGAATCTGGCAAGCAACCAATAATCCATTAGAATATCAATTGAAGACATCACAATATCAAAAATAGGGAACTTAAAAACTCTAAAAAATAACAACCAAAGGATTTTGTCCTACACCACCCATTTACAGTGACTTGTTAGAATTTAGGAAAAAAGTTTCAAAGACCAGTCAACACCACAGTCAAAAGCCTAAACCAGCTGTGCCATTATTTAGCAAAATTGAAACATCCAAAGCACACATATCTAAAATACTCTATAATTCTGTGATCTCGGGGGAAATAATGGGGTACCATTTATTTCATATTCCTTACACCAAATCATTAAGAAGTTCCCTTAAATTTCCTGACAATGTTATTTTACAACAGTACTACCCCATCCAAAGAAGGAAAAAACAAAACTTGTAATCATCATAAACAGAGCTGCCAATCCCAACTGAACAAAAATCATATCCCCCCCCCCCCCAATCCTATTTTTGATCGATAAGTTTTTTTTTTTAGTTCGACATTTTGAAGCATTATACATGAGTACATTTTACAAAAATTTTGTTGAATATGCAAGATTTTGTCATCATGAATGATTGTTTAATGAACCAATGAGCGGCAGGTAAATGTTTTTTTTTTTTTAACCATTGGTTGAATATGCATGATTTCTTCATGACTGGTGTGTTCGATGAACCAATGAACATCCCAAAATTGCCAATGTGAGATGCTTGTAGGATACTTCACAAAATAAACAAACACATTCAAATTTTCAGAAAATCTTTTTTGGGTTTTTTTTTTGTGGAAAACCGTACGAATTACGATAAAATCTTACTGGTTGGCAGCTCTGCATAAATCAAAGGAAATAACTAAAACATCCCAGTGTCCCATAGAAGCCTTCCCCATGCATATTTCAAAACAAATAAACAAATTGATATTATACCCAACTACCTTCATACTCTCCACTAAAAAGTGTAATCCAATATCCAATACATAACAGGAAAGAATGTGTCTACTGAAAAAATAGCTATTTTCAGAAAGAGAATTGTTGCAAAGTAGAAAAGAGTCTTCTATAAAAAGGAGAGCTGAAGACAAAATTTATGGGAAAGAAAGACTGTTCATGATATTACCAAACCAAAGGAAGTGAAAATATGTAGAGGCATAAAGGATGCAACAACGATCTTGAGGAAATTGCACAGGAATAAAGATAAATTTACCTAAAAACAAACTTTATAAATCTAATGAACTTAAGTTTCTGATATTAATGATAATGGGCAATTCTTTGCAATGTGCCCTATACAACATATGACTTAAATCCATTTATATATCATCCAAAAGTGAAATTCATTTGACATGGCCATTTATTATTGGTTCTTTCTGACATCACAGACATTATTCAATGGCCATATCAAGAGATTCTTCAATTTTGGATGAAAACAAAATGGAGAAATGGCATGTTGTACAGGACGCGTTGCATGGAATCACCCTAAAGCTGCAGTAAAGTGCAAATAATGGTGTTAATTTGTCCAGACCATGCAGTTCCTGACACTTACTAGTCATTAGAACAGTGGCTTGGACGACTACAGATGATACACAAAAATCAAACACATACATGGAAGAAAAGAAAAGAAAAAAAGAAGCAAAAGAAAATTAATAAAATAATTTTTAACTATTCAAATACCTATGCAAACGATAGAAAAAAATAATGCCTCACTTAAAAAAAAAAAAAATTAAATCATACTGACTTCGAGTGTCCATAGTGCAGTATTTATATCAGAATTTTCTGCCATTTGTGCCACTAATTATATTAAAGAATGATAGCAAATAATTGATCCACATTTGCAACTCGTTTTCTACCAAAAGCTCTTGGCGTTTCAATAATAAATATCTCATCATTAAACAAAAGAACCAAATAAATCAGACAGTCACAAAGGTGAAAAGAATTTGAACATGAACAATACAAAAGGGCAGGTAGGATATCAGCGTGTAAATATAGAATAGTGTTGGGACAGGTTGTAATGAAACGTTTCCACTATGGTCAATATTATTTTGATTTAATAAATGATATTCTTAGATAGATCATAGATCACAGCCATATTTCAGCATTATGTCATGTAGTATTTGACCTCTATGATGCAGGTTAGATACATGTATGACTCGCCCTCTCATTCTTTTGTCATAGCCTAAATCTGATATATGTCAGAGTGAATTTGTATAAAGAGAAACCTTCAATATTCTCACTGAATTGAACATCTTTCAGGGAAAGTATTCAAACTGCCTGTCCTCTCTTCCCGCCCATCAACAGAGGGCGGTAAATAGTGGCAGAGAGTGTTCTTGGAGTCTATTTCAATTATAAAATTGTTTATTCATCAATAGTTTTGTATAACTTACATCCAAGGTATGAATATGTTTATGAAGTAATCTTTACTAGACCCACTCAATGATGGGGGGATATTATTTCAATAGAAGCATCAATATACTGCAAAAAAAGAGTGTTATCCAACCTTTCCATCGTGTAGAGCTTTGGTTTGAGTGAACCTCTGGAACTAGCCGGCCTCAGGGACGAAGCTGAGCCACCGCTCACAGACGACCGACTCAAGCTGCCTGTCCTCTCCTCTCGGCCATCAACAGAGGGTGGTGTGTAGCGATGCTCGCACACGCCCCTCAGGAGCACCTCTGCCAGCTCCCTTGCAAGCGTGGTGCGGATGTTCTGGGAGGTCCGGGTCTCCACGGCTTTGAGAATGTGACGGAAGCGATTGATACCCTGGTCCATTTTACTAAACATAGGATGGACAAGAACATAGACATGATGAGCCAACATCAGATTGGTTGCAAGTTAGTTGTGACTAGCAAGAAACAGAAGATATACTTTTTTTTGTTGCAGTTTGTAGTTGTAAGATTGTTTTTCTTATTACATATATTTATGTATTTGTCATTTACTGTCAGCGCTCTAGGCCTTATGGGAAAAGTGCGATATAAATGATAATAATAATAATAATAAAGATAATTGTCTATCAATCACTGCAAAATACACTATTCCTTCTAAAAAGGGTTAGGATTAGAGTTGTTGAATTCAGGAATTCAGTTAGTGTACAATATTCACTTGCAGAGCAGTTGTCACCAGAGCATTTACCCTGGAACAAAAATGTATGACTACATAGAGTGGTTTTTGCTACATCAGTTTTGACTGTAATATCTCTGAAGACATACCCTTGTTGTATGTAGATAAGTGGAGCTCTCTGCACAGCTGTCTCTAAGACCGGTCCTACCATGTGACTACCTGACCCTAGGCTGCTGGAGCTTGAAGATGTGGTGTTCGTCTGTTGACCTTTCTCAATTTCCTACATGAAACAAAAAAACAAAATGCAATAATTTAGCATGCTTCGTTTCTTCTATTCCAATACATGTTTAAGAATAATAATTTTAGGATGTCATGAATAAAGTTGACATATTCCTTATGATTCATATTGGTCACATTTTTTTAACCTAAATGGCAATGCTTGTAGTACAGGTGTGGATTAAAGTCCTAGACAACTATCTTTGCATTAAACAAGTGTTCTCCGGACAAGATCAAGTGAATTACCTTCAGATTTATTATAATTCTCTTTGACATCCATATGCAATCTTTACAAAGTGGGTTTGAAGTACATAGCCTACAATAAAATAGATCATATTGCATTTCTGGTTACCATGACATTTGGAAATAATATGTTTGGCCTTTTCAATAATGAATTCATCCATACCTGCAAGTAGTAGAGAGCCAAGTCGCCTGCCCTTTCATAGTTAGCAATAATCTCCTCCGCATGTTCTTCTCTCTTTTTCTTGTCACCCTGTTTATCCGCAAGTTTCTCCATGCACATCCCTGTAGCAGATAAAATGAGACAATAAAGTGTATATTATCAAACAAACCTAAAATAGCACAACACATAAAACAAATTAAACTCTTTAACAAATTTGTTGTCATAAACTCACATTTCATCTACTAAAGAGTGAATTTCTTTTTTCCTACATAAAGAAGATTATGTGTATTTACTATATCCTAGTGCCTCTTTAGTAAGGAAACAATTATCATAAATCAAGATTCAAGAGTCAAATTCTAAATTTCCATTTTGTATTACATTGTTCAAACAAAATTCATCAATATTTCCATAAAAATGAACTTCACAATACACAAACCTATTCCTGTTTTCAGTCAAATAAATGACAGTTTCTTTAGTCCAGTGTACACTGTACATCAGTCAATTTCTCCAACAAGCTTTGCTGCCAACAGCATGAAAGTGGTAACTAATCATGTTAATACTTTGAAAAAAATTCATTGCCTTGCAACTTACCTCTGACAGCAAATGCCTCAGCCATGATCTTCAGCCTCGTGCAGGGAGCCTCCTGACTCGCCATGTCATCAAGTTTAGCTTTATCCAGGTTCTTGATGGCTTCCTCGTATTCACCCATGGCTAGGTGAACCTTGGACAGGAGGAGGTGGGACTCTGCATACAGTATGTGCTGTAAACAACAAAGAACACCAAAAAGAAAAGGAAGTACAAATGTCAGTCGTATCCTTCCTAAACAAGACCAGGGTCCTGTATTATTTATAAAGAGTTGCTGTTGATTCAAATCGATTGCAACTTCAAATTAATCACAACTGTGTACTTAGGAGATGGGATTTGTGATTAATTTCAAGTTGAGATTGATTTGAATCGATGGTAACTTTATAAGACGGGGCCCAGGATACAGTATACAGTATACTTGAAGCCAATGGAAATCCACTAAAATCAAATGCACAACAAGAAGTGGTATTAGTAGTCTGTATAACATAGAAAATATTTTTATCAGGTTCTGTTTTAATTATATCTGTGACACCCGTCATTCAATTTTTCTGAATTATTTACATAATGAATACATTTCAGAAGAGATCTATACAAACAAAATAACTGCCCAGCCCTTCATACAGTTCAGTAAGTTGCAAAATGATTTCATGCATACGAAATTAAAAGTTATCATCAAGAAGCAATGTTCTCTTTACTGAAATCTTAAGAAACGTTCATTTATGTCTTTCGGTTGGGAATTCCTTGGCAATTTCACTCCGATCCATGAGTATTACCTTTGCGCCTTTGGCAGCAAGGAGGAGATGAGACCTGGCTGATGAGAGCTCCTTCTTTGCTTTTGCTGCCGTTTCATGATTGGGTGGATTCTGAATCAAGTATAACTCCAGCTCACATTCTCCAGTGGCAAGATGTAGCAAAACCTCTGCAAAGAGTGGGCGGAAACACAAGGAAAAAGAAATTGGTAATATTAATGATCATCATCAAGAAATCTTTTCTTTAAATATTTGGTTACATCTCCTTTTTTTTTTGGGGGGGGGGGGCGGGGGCTGCTGAATTCTCGCTACCCTAAATAGGTACGAAAATCTCGAAATTCGCGAGACGAGGTAATTTTCACTCTCTCGGGTCGTCACTACAACTTCCGGTATAGAGTCCCATCCCACTGGCGAAAGCGCCTGTGTTCGCTGTGCAGAGTTTTCACGCACGCTAAAATCGATGCCAATCAGTGTAATTTGTACAAATTATAATATGCAATGGAAAGCTTCGGGCAGAATTAGTGACTTTAGCACAAAAGGCCGTTAAACTCTACCGTGAAAGAGAGGGTTGTGATCACGAACGCCTGCACAGGAAGCTGTAATGTCGAAAAGCTATCCCATAATGCAATGCGCGTTTTCAGGATTTTCCCCGGATCTCGGCAGAATCGCTATTTGGGGTAGCGAGAATTGCCGTTTTCATCCCCGTAAGTCCAGGTTGACTATCCCATTGAAACGCGTGTTAATTCTATAACACACGTTTCAATGGGATAGTCAAGAAGTTAGACTTATGACGGTTTCTAGGAACGGGCCCCAAGGGTATAAACACAAAATGAAAAACAAAACAACATTTTCTAAAATTTTACCCATTGGAGCACTATATTGAACATCTCATGCTATGTACACACCAAACTTGGTAAAAGCAATTGATTCTTTACAGAAAGTCTTGTAATTCATAACCAAAAATGTAAAAACAAAACAAAACAAAACATTCACATTTTTCCATTCCCGGCATGGCCTTAAACTGACAGAAACCAAAAAGGAACCGATTAATTATAGGTCTATGCAAAGTCGATATTAAGCAAGGCATCATCTCAATGTCATCAAAACAATTTATGATTCAGAATCAGAAAGAAATCAGTCTCTACTCTCTACGACTCGAGTTAATTTTCAGAGTCTCTCACTCTCACTCATTGAATGATGTCTCAGAGTCAGAGATACACATAATTGGCATGCATTGCATAAAATCATGCTTATCATAGTTAATTGAATAACTACGATTGTTATCAAGTGTACCAATAAATCTACTTCTGTAAATGTAAATGCATCAACATAATTTTTATAAATTTAAATTTAGTTAACAATTCTTGTCAGAGAGCACACACAACTTAGAATGTATGGGACTGTAATGAAGTGGGCGTCGTTCATTAAGCATCTTTTTGCAAAGAAAATTAACTTACCCAGGTGAGGACTTTTGACTCTATTTTGGTTCACTACTTCTCGAATACGTTCCCAGTTACATTCACTCCTATATTTTTCAATGTCGGATTCCACACGAGACACAGCTTTGCGATTAGCAGCCATTCTTCTTCAAGTAGCTCTTTTGCCAAGCGATTCTCGATTCTGTGGCGTTATGACGTCATTCATCAATATTCATTGATTTGGCTAACTGGGGTAGTGGGTGAGGTGGGGGGGGGGGGCTGTCTAAGTTATGTGGACGAAAGGCAAACAAATTCTTACTGTCTAATCTTTCTTTGGTTTTTTTTTCTTACTCTATTGTCATCCCCTTTCATTCCCTTGTATTTGGTGGCTCTAGGGGAACAAAGCCGAAAGTGATAGGCTAAAGCCCTTTGAAAATTAAAAGATATGAGGAGAAGTGCCCCAAAAGTGCACCCCCGGCTATAGGTTGTTATTACTCTTCCCCCCTTTTTTTTTCCTTCTTTCTTACCGGTACGGTACTACTTTGGAAAGTAACTAGGCCATACTATTTCAGGCCTTAAATGTCAAAATGTTTAGGGCAAGGCCACTTTTCTGTAGGGCACATTCCTATATTACAGCACAAAAAGGAAGAATTGGAAAGGGCACAAAAATCCAAGGCCAATGAGAGGGGCATTGAGGCCAGTCAAAAGGGCATCCACGGCCATGGCCTTGGTGGCCTTGGATTAATTTAAGTCCTGCTATTTCTTACGACGGTGTCGGGGAGCAGAATTAAAAATTTAATATCACAAAACTGTAAATTCTAAAGATGTTGACAGTTGGTGTTCAGGAATATCGAGATTCAATACGTCACGTTGGAATAGGGTCGGGATCGAGCAAGCCAAATATTTGTTGATCGAAATATTACATATGAGGCTGCATAGCTAAGATTTGATTCTTTGGAACAGGGATCATATATTCCATACTTAATAGGCCTTCATATATATATTTTTTTTATATATTTTTTTTTAAATAAATAATTTACATAATATTTTTGTTACGTTTTGTGGGCGCCGCATGTTATGTTCAAAATCCATATAGTTAGCATAATAGTTACACATTATATTATATTTCTTCATTGGACACATGTTTTGTTTTTGTTTTTGTTCTTGAGATCAGAATTTACCATTTCATTTATGTAGCTTCGAAGGAGGAAAGAACAAATTGCTTCTTCATTTAGTTTCTGGCCTAGGAATGGGAAACTATATATTTTCAAATTGTTTTTTGGAGAGGGAGTAACTATTAATGATTAAGGCGCAAGTCTTAGGCTTTTATTACCACTGATCTTCGGAGCCATGGGAGAAAGACACACAGAACAAGAAGAAGATGTTGATTAATAGAGTATTATAAATATTGTTTTAGGGAAGGTGCACGGCACACGCTTTCTGGGATAGAAAGAATGATTTGATCGAGGATTTAGGCCAATGCCCCGTCGGCCGAGCTTGTGGAGGACAATTAAAGAACATTTCTCCCATGAATTCGGTACCATCTATGCCCACCCTGTTATTTTATTTCATTTAATTATTACCATTGATTATAAATGGTTGGGTAACCTAATGGAGCCTGATCTGTCATTTCCGTTTACATGAATATTGAATTGTTACATTGTAAAGTGATTTATATGTTTATAAACAGAATATTGATGTACATCAATGAAGTTTAATAAATACAACAATACATGAAATGGAGGGGAAGAAGGGGGGAGGGGTTATAAATCAGTACAATAACCCTGTTGATTTCGGCCCCAGCAAAGCTTGAAGGGAGGGGGGGAGGGGGTTCTGGGGACGAAAAAAACCAAGTGCCTTTTTAGAAGATACACCGTCTTTGACAAATGATTGATTGATTTATTGCTTGCTTTTATTCGCCAAGCCTCAACACAATGATATAAAAGAATAACGGATCGAAATTAAGTCAGCCTGAACAGCTTCAATAAGTTAAAATCGTATGATTACAGATAAGAAAACAATAATAATGATGATAATAATAACAATATTAGGAGAAGCGGAATAAAAATGAGGAGAAGAAGAAAAAGTAGAAGAAGAAGAAAAGGAGGAGAAGGAGGAGGAAGAGGAGGAAAGGGAGGAGGAGGAGGAAAGGATCGAGGAGGAGGAGGAGGAGGAGGAGGAGGAGGAGGAGGAAGATAGAAAGAAATGAATTGAATTAGTTCATGGATGAATAAATAAAGGACTAATCAATAAAAAGTAATGAGTGAATGTATAAGTGAATGAATGAATAACTAAATGAATATATGAATAAAAGTGAATGAATAGATAGATAGATAGATAGATAGATAGATAGAGTGATTTTTTTTTTAAAAAGGAGTGAAGTGCAAAAATGCCCTTTTTTTTACAATATTGGTTATTTGGAAAAAAACGGATTAAAAAAAAGGGGGATATCTTTGTTTAAAATGGGGCCCATTAGAGCGGCACAACCCCAACCCCCCCCCCCCGGGTGCCCATGCATCAAGCAGAATGATATTAACACAATATTTTTTCTTTATATAATTATTCTAATGGCATTTCAGATTGGATTTTACCGGAGAGGCGTCGCCCCCCCCCTCCTCCCCCCCCCCCCCCCCCCCCCCCCCGGCCCTCCCGCCCCAGTATCCATTACTGAGAAGTTGGAAGAAAAGAATCTTTTTTTGTTAGCTAGGCTCGCGCTCTGGAAAAAAAAGTGTTACCACCCTCTATCGACATTTATTTTTTAGTCACATGCGTGCGGCCTTTTTCCTGACGCCTCGCCATTATTGGTAGGTCCACAGAAAATATGTCCAAATAATGCTCGAATATGTGATAAAGCTAACATGAAATAAATAACGTTATGAGTCTGTTATAAAAAGTAAAACCTTGATTACATTTTCTGTCTTGAATAGGTGGCACAAACGTCGTCCAAGATGCAGATTTTTGTGAAAACACTGACGGGGAAAACCATCACCCTCGAGGTGAGTTGCATTCTGTACGCTGTTGTTGCAATGGTGGTTCGGTGTCGCGTCGTAACGTTGTAGGCATGCGTGTGGTAGTGAATGCATTGGCAAATGTGTGTGAATGGCGAGTGAATTGAGACGTATCCATCACACCCTTGGCATGGCCATGCAAATCCCACATGTTTCCCTGTTATTTTTTGTCAGAATTGTGGTGCAGTGGAAAGTAAGACTATGAGTATGACGTCTGATTTAGGTGCAATCTTGGCCATGCATGCAGTGACAGTTTGCAGGTTGCCTGTTATGAATCTGTGAATTCTTTTCGAGAATCGAAAAAAAGTGTTTAAAAAATGTCTTTTATTTTTTGTTGAAAATCTCCATCAACAGTAGGGGTGCTGGGCCGAGAATGAGGATGGTCTGCATAAATGCAGACAAATCGCGTCTCAAAAATAAGGCTTGTCTGCTTTTGCGGACATTTTTTTAAAATTCTGCGTCTGCGGTTGTAGGATTCCAATCTGCACGCTGGCAATGTAAAAAAAAGAATTCCGCGTGATAAAATACCCCCTTTTATGAGTTGTCCGTTTTCCAAAAAAAAAGTATCGTTCATAACGTGAAAGTCTCTTTGCAAAGTCAATGTGAAATGCATCAAGGAGCATCATCGCGAAATCCGTTTTTCGCATTGACAACGCGCGGATTGGAAATGCGGACAATCCTTATTTTTAGGATGCGTCGGTCCATGTTTACGAAGACAATCCTTATTCTCAGACCAGTGCCTCTACCGTCACATAGAATAGTTTGAATTGGCACACCTGTTGGGATGTGTTCGACAAAACAACATTTCACCTCTATTGCAAAAGTGATCATTGAAAACTTCAAGATTTTTTTTTTTTGGAGTAAATATAAGCTACTAAAGGAATTCCATGTTCAAAAGTGGCAAACTGAAATGCAAGGATGCAAGCCATTGCCCATGTTACAATATATCGGGAGGGGGGGGGGGTCACGTTGGGAGACGAGGCTCTAAAGACATATCAATGTATTGACCCCAGGTCCTGCTCTTTCAGGCAACCAATATTTTTGATAGGCATGTTGAAATCCCTTTTTTTGGGGGGGGGGGGTATATTTCCAATATTCACTGGGGGTGGGGGGACAAGACTCAACGACAGTCGTATGCAAACAAGCTTGATAAGTTAACATGCATGTTGAAATATTTTTTGAGGGAGGGTAGATAGAGTTTGCTTTTCATTACCAAGCATTTCTTATTTGAAGGGAAACTGCATCTACCTCTACAGCCACAGGTACAATACCCCTAAGCAATGATGACGTAACTCACTTAGGACACCTTATGAGCGATGCTTTGATTAAAAAAATGAGTTCATGATCTGAGCTAGGGAAATTGTTTGCTACCTGCTGGTGTAATCTTCAAAATGTGGGCAAGTAGAGATTGTGTTCTGTCCATAGTTTTTGTGTAATTTAAAGTTAAAGAGCCAAGTTTCCAACAAGTGTAACACACTGACTAGACATTTTATTTCACTGTTGATTTCTCAAATTACAGAATTGTTTTTCTTTTGCTTAATTATCAGGTGGAACCCAGTGATAGCATTGAAAATGTCAAGGCTAAAATTCAAGACAAGGAGGGTAAGTGTTGGGAAGAGTCTTAAAAGTGTTAATCATCATGAAATAGAGATAGCGATTAGGAAGTAAGAGAAAACATTACCAAGATTTCATGAAGAATGGCCAGCTATGATGACTAATCTCATTTACTTAGGACACCTTATGAGTTCTTCTATGATATTGAAATGAGTTCAGATCTGAGCTAGTCTACTCTAATTTCAAAGACTTGATTGACAATTCTGTGTTCTTGAATTAAGTAAAATATATCTTGCTGGGTATTGTTGATAACTGATAGTCCTTTGTTTCCCTTTTTAAAACTTCTCTTTTAATGACATACTGTTAGAAGGAATTGTTAACATATATGATAACATTTTTTGTCTCGTCTAAATGCTGGTGTTTTGCATATGTTTTTGTTGTGGAATGCTCCTTGTTAATGCCTGCTCCTTGTTAATGCCTGCTCCGATCGTGACTACCGCCCCATCTTTCCATAATGGGTCAGAAGCATTTTTACTATACAAAATTTAAGTAATTTTCCCAAAGTTAAATATAATGTAGAACATGTAAGAGGCCAATGAACTTAATGTATCAGCAATATCTTGGCAGAATGTTTGACCATTATACACTTGATTTTATCAACACCTATACTATCTCCCAGGTATCCCTCCCGATCAGCAGCGTTTGATCTTCGCTGGCAAGCAGCTGGAAGATGGCCGCACCCTGTCCGACTACAACATCCAGAAGGAGTCTACCCTCCATTTGGTGCTCAGGCTCCGTGGTGGCGCCAAGAAGCGCAAGAAGAAGAACTACACCACCCCCAAGAAGACCAAGCACAAGAAGAAGAAGGTCAAGCTCGCTGTACTCAAATTCTACAAGGTGAGAGTTCATTTGGTGAAAAAAAGTTTGGAATCTTTGTGTCCACTTTAGTCTGCTGAATAAAGGCCAAGTGTGGTGATTGCAAGCATGGCAACACTTTGGGAACATAGTATGACCATAATCATCTTTTGAATACAATTTGTTATTACCTTTATGCAGATTTGGCATAGAGGGAGGAAAATAAGTAACTTCATGTAATGGTAGTGATTACTTTTCACTTAACTTGGGCTTGGAATCAATCTCTGAAAAACAGTCTGTTTGGAATTCTAGATATCTTGCTGCTTTTCAACAACAAAGATGAAAATTCATAAAGCTTAGCATTTTATAATGCATGTTTGCCAATAGGCTTTTTTTAGACTTTAATAAAATGTCAGCAAATCAAATTCATCAATATCCTCTACTTTCTGTAGAAGATGCCAGTTATAATAAATGGGAAGTTCGATCTTGTGATGATGCATTGCTATGATGACTTAGCTCTTACTTAGGACACCTATGAGTTTATCAGTGATTTGAAAAAGGCAAACTCTGAGCAATCAATCATCAAGAAACATTCCTCCCATGGCCATTGGTACCAAATTGATCACAATTCTAAATTTGAATTGTTGGATGTTCATTACTTTTAATTTGATACGTCATATGTGCCCTCTGGTAGTCTCAACTTTGAAGACATCTGTCAAGTACAGGTAATGGAGACTCGTATTTTGTTTCCTTTTATTGGGATCATGAATAATCACGCCTTGCAATGTAAGCCTTCCTTAACTCAACCCTTCCCATTAACTGTGTCCATGACAGGTCGACGAGAACGGCAAGATCACCCGTCTGCGTCGTGAGTGCCCCAGCGAGGAGTGCGGCGCCGGTGTCTTCATGGCCTCCCACTTTGACCGCCAGTACTGCGGAAAGTGCTGCCTGACCTACGTCTACAACAAGCCCGCCGAGGCATAGACTGCAGTCTGACCTCTGACCTTGGATTATACCATTCCACACGAGGACTAACTAACAAAGGGCTCTTCTGGACAAGCCCTATGTGGAGAACATCATCCACATCACACGAAGGAACTTGGTTCCAGAACTCAAATGAACAATAGTTTTCATTCACTGGATACATGTCTTGGGGTGATTGCAGTCATGCTACCTATCTCCCAATGATGTAACAAATGCATTAAAATATCATACACAACCACTCCTGTATAGTTTTGCTCTGTGTTATTCAGTGTTTACATCGGTGATGTTAAGGGCGAGACCGTGAGGGAGTTGTGTAGTATGCAAATATGTTAAGAGAGGTGATGATAGCAAGGTGAATGTGCAGATTTTTTGTGCGACTGTTTTAACAATTGAGAGAGCCGTTACTGTATGGTATGAAAGAGGAGTATGAAAACCAGTTTTTTGCATGTAGACAAAGCAATTTTTTCCTTGTGTTCCGTATGTTGCTAATTTTGAAAGATTATGAACATAAAATCTTGATCTGATCATATGTCATGTCGAGCTCGAGCTTGAGTATAATCCAAGTATAAGTATCGGGTGCAAGCACATATAGTAGGAATTTTGTGTGCTGAATAATTGAGATTGTCGGTAACCATGTTAAATGCTCATTGTTTTTCCTTGACCCTCTCAGCAGAACAAAAGCTTAATACGTGTAACATTTGGTATGAAACCATAATTCATCCCCCTTCCCCCTTTTTATAAGAGGGGGGGGGGGGGGCGGTTGGAAGGGTACGGGTGAAATTTATTCTGCATAGTTTGGACCACCTTGGCCGTCTGTATCTTGCTGAATGAATTGGTCAAAGTGTCTGAGATAATGTGTTATGAAAAAAAGGAGCAGAGGAGCACTTGTGTGGTAGAAAGGTTGCATGGGAGGGTAGGGGGAGGTATTTATCAAAACAAGGAAATCCATTGAAGTACAACCCCCCCCCCCCCCCCCACCAGGGAATGAATAATGAACGTATCTAATCGTTGTATACCACTAGCCAAAAGGGAGTATGTATCTCTTTTTCACATCTCATTATTATACATGCCTTGCTTTGTTTTCATTTCTCAACCAAATTCATTATCTGGAAACAAAAATACACAAAATGAAAAGAAATGGTCAATTTTGATGTGAATTTTGTTACTTTTTAATATGAATGAATGGCAGAAGTTATAAACCTTTTCTAACCTCGCACACGATGTTATATGAGCTGTTCACAATCGGTCCTTGATTAGCGTACCATTTCTCAACGAGTTGACCCAAGTCAAACAGTTTGCATGCACAAACCCTTGTCAGTCATGGTGCGTAACACAGTGTCTGAACTAAGAGACAATCCCGACAGCTCGGCCTAGAGCACCCCATAGTTGCTCCTGACACAGTCAGAGACTGACATTGGAGCTAGAAGGCTCTTTTCAATACCGTAGGCCATTTTCTTAATGTAAGCAAATTATTTCATTCACCTGTTACAACACATGTATTTGTATATCAATAGTCAGAATGTAAATTGCAAACATTATGGCTTGTGTTACTTAACGACACGTAAAGTACTATGCAATTTGCATTTTGACTACCGGTATTGAAATACAATTATTCATAACGGGCGAATGATCAATCTGTTGAATAGGCAAATATGCATATCCAAATACATGTATGATAGGGAGAAAAAGCTGACAGGATAAGACAAATAATATAATATTGCACATCTGTTATTATTAGTAACCTTGTCTGTTTTACCATGTCTATAAAATTATTGAAGAAATTACGACATCTGTCGTAAATTATATTATTGCAAACCTAGGTTTCAACAACATAATAATGTGACTGAAATACCTCTTATCATGGCAAAGACATATTCGCCCAAATTCACAAAGGATGTTTGTCGACAAACCTTGGCTTTTGCTTCTTTCTTTATTTTTCTAAGTCATGTCAAGGTGCATTACCCCGTCAAAGCGTTTCGACGCGTTTTTACAAACCAGGTTTGTAAAAAAACGCATAAAAACACGTTATATGACGTACTGAAACCAAGGTTTGTCGACAAACCTCCTTTGTGAATTCGGGCCATTGGATCTGATATATCCGAAATGATGAAGACTTCACAGGGCTCAACAAGTAAGATAAAAAGGTACCCAACCCTCTAAATTCACACTGACCCCTCATTTTAATAATATTAAGAACACGGCCTTCCTTTGGTAAAATCACTTTCTTATATTTCAGTATTCATGAAGCTTGTACAAACACGAAGGCAAATCCCAGTTAATATTGGTTATCCTCTCTCACATGCGTAAAAGGCAGCATTTGTTATTTTTATTTCAACAAAAGTTGACAATTCACTGCATAAGGTTTAATGTCGTGACAGGAATTGCCAACAGTTAGAATGGCTTAAAATCTTGGTCATGTATTGCTGTTACTAATTCCACAAGAACATAATAATAATTTGAACCCATTTCCAACACAGTCAGGGCAGTTCTTATTGTTAGTTCATACTCCATCCATACAGGAATGACATAATTTAACAGTCGATGAGTTCAAAATACATGTAATGGGTTTCAGTAATAACTGTAATATTGTTTATCTAGAGTAAAATAGCGTATAGAAATTCCTTTCGTCTTCTTCCAACAACTTAGCAATGAGTTTTTATCATCACACTAAATTTGTGTGATCCGTCTACCTTGTTTATTTACTACATGACAACACTACATGACAACTGCATGAAGCAAAACATTCTCACCCAGTTCTTATTTGGTCTGTGCACTGAACTATATAACAAAAGAGTATTCAATTTATGCACATTATTCCTGAGATATCAACACATTAGGTTGATAACTTGTCCATGGGACTCGAGAACAATGCAACTGGTCTCATAAATTATGGTTCTTCAGATTTATAAAAATTATACTCTTTTCATTCAAGTTAATGTGCTTGCATACATGAGAACGAGTGTATTGTCTTCTTTGAACTATTTTTTAGGTTCATCAGAAATCAAGTTCCCATTTAATTCTTTTGGAATTCGCAGTGTTTCTTTGCCGCATCATGGGTTAAAAAAACATTCTCTAGATGCATCTGAAACTTCATCAATCTTTTCTTGAATTGAATTGAATCACTAGGGCTCAAGTCCAGTAATCATGTTTTGTTTATTCCTAACCCTTCATCTGGCTGATGTTCAAATTCAAGTTTGCATTCCATTTCTTGTGGGTTTCTCTCAATCTGAGAGCAATATGATGGTGTATATCCAATTGTCAGAAATTGGTTCCCGCATCCACCTAGAATTCGCTCTTTCTCATGAGGGAAGCATGTATACTGGTAACAGGATCTCTAGTCCAAAGGAGGCGTGATGGCTCAGTGGTAGAGCAGTGGTCTCGTAACCGAGAGGTCCTGGGTTCAAAACCAAGTCGATGTGCTAATGCCCTTTGGTAAGGCATTAATCCGTATTACCAAGTCCCTCGGAGAGGACTTAAAGCCCTTTGTACCCTGGTTGTTTACATACAAGCATACACATGCTTTCATAGCAGTCGAGTAAAACAATATACCAGTAATCTAATTGTTATCATTTTGAATCAATCAGAAATCAAGTTCCCATTCAATTTCCTGAGGTATTCTCTCTATCTCATAGCATACAATAGTGTCTCCAGTCTCGTAGTCTAATTGTTCTTCAAACCGAACGCCGCACTCCAATCCTCGTTTCACACTGCTCACATCATCTTTGTGATGCTTTAACGATGCCAGTGGTCCTGAACACCGAAACAAGAAAGGAAAAGTAGATTAAATATATACTACGATGAAAGAAATAATGGTAAAATGAAGAAAATTATTCAATACATGTAAACCATGAGCACACAATATTTAGGTAATATTAATGAATGTATCACCCAGTATTGTATAGGTACTATGCATAAACATACCGGTAGATAAAAAACCTGAAACATTACGTAGGTTTGGGCTTGGAGGGGGTTGTAATTCAATAAACTGATGGAATTACACATTGACAAAAACTAACTTCAATATTCAATACTACGGTAAACTTTCATAAATGAGACCCAAACCATGCTAATAGACTTTACATTCACCTTGGGAATACAAAAATATTTTTATCTTATGATACTGAACAATACATCTATACCCGAGTGTAGCAATCTTTAAAAATTGATTATTCAGATGGGTGTATTATGCTGTCCAATATCACCTACAAATTGGTTTTAAAAATTTGACACAGGAGTTGAAGAGCATGTGTGTGTGTGTATGTATTAGGGGGGGGGGGGGGGGGGCTGAACATGTGAACCAAACATACTTTTATTTTTTTTCTTCTCACTACATAAGCATTAGGAAATGTGTCTAATTGAAAGGGGGAGAGGAAGAGCTGCACCCCTCTCCCCCTCAAGGTTAAGTGCCCACTGCAACCTAATTTCTAGTGCAATAGTTACCTTGATGAACAGTCTCCCGATTCCTGATGAGCTTGAACAGCCCCCTAGACTGGAGTTTGGGGGGTAATACTACTTAGGCATTAGGAAATATGTCTACCGGTACTCAAAAAAGGGAGGAGGGGGAAGAGCTGCACCCCTAACAGTTAGTTTTCTAGTGTAATAGTTACCTTGATGAACAGTCTCCCGATTCCTGATGAGCTTGAATAGCCCCCTAGACTGGAGCTCTCCCTTGTCCACCCTGCATCCGGCTATACCCACTTTTCTCCTGCCTATAGAGATCTCAAAGGGTTGTAGGACAACAGCCTCTCCTGAATGAACGAATAAATGAAATGCCAATGGCAAGATTAATCAGTCAACTGTTCTGACTGGAACTCATTGATTGTCTGCACTCTGGACCGAGCAACAGCAACTTTCCTCCCGATGATATGTCCTTGTATGTACAGTTAACAACTAAATTATACATATCCTAACCAAGTTTTGAAATTTGTTTAAGTACGTGAAAAATCGATATGTACCGATTTATGTTTTTTAAGCTTACATTTCAAAAGTATTCAACAAAGGCCCCAATTCAACCAGTCCACCTTTCATTTTTACGAGTCACAAAAAACACAAAATAACATCAGTTAAATTAGTTGTTAACTGTATATTCCAAGTGGTGGCAGGGCTGAAACTCCTCATTAAAGAGATGCAAATGACAAACTTATATTTGATGAAAGGGAAAATTGTACATTCCCGGTTTCACGTTGGATCAGAACACGTCACCAGTATTGGTCTTATCACTATTGGGTAGGAACAACTTGAAGATTACAAGGGAGAAAATCTGAGTTAAATACATATACCGGTACTCTTACAAATGTTATTGCTATGTTACATGTTATTCATTGTTCAAGATCAATGCAATAAAGGGAGCTAGAAAGAAATTCCTTGAAAGCTTTAGCAACTTATCAGGCACCTGCTACTTGGCTGAATCTGGGATGATAATATGATGGTAGGGACCTCCAAAAAGAACAGTAACTTAAAGCCTGTCTGCACTAGTTTGGCCAGGGGGGATTAGACCTCCCTGCAAGGTCACTGACAGGTGGTTATCTCATCAAATCAGCTCTCAATTAACATAAGACAAAGAGGATCATGGGGGACCAATAGGCACCGATTAGGCATTGTTTGCTATATAGAGGGCGCAAGTAGCAATAAGTAGTGCAGTGGGGCTTTAATACTGATGAGGCTATCTCGGGTACAAAATTATGATTTATTATTATTATTATTACTATCAAATATGTTTTTCCTACTCTGTAAAGAGTATATATATATATATATATATATGCCATTCTAAAATTAATGTGTCAACAAATAATGATGGACTACACCCTACAAACTCACCAATTATAGATTCCTGTTCCAGTAGGGGCAGCCTATTACTAAGATCATCTTTGAGATCATCCACTAGCCTGTAGATGATGTCGTGCATCTTGAGCGGCACCCCCTTGGCCTTGGCCGCCTCCTCAGCCTCCTGCGTGGCCGACACGTTGAACCCCACAACGGCACCCTCAAAGGTGTGCGCCAGCTCAACGTCATTGTCCGAGATGACCCCGACCCCAAAGCTGAGCACGTTGAGCTTGCACTGGTGGTGGGCCGTGTAGGTGGACAGGGTGTCCAGGATGGCCTCCACGGATCCGTCGACGTCTCCTGCAGAAAGAGAATGGTATTGAATGGTATTGAATGGTATTGAATGGTATTGAAAGGTATCGAATGGTATTGAATGGTATTGAATGGTATTGAATGGTATTGAATGGTATTGAAAGGTATTGAATGGTATTTAATGGTATTGAATGGTATTGAAAGGTATTGAATGGTATTGAATGGTATTGAATGGTATTACATGGTATTGAATGAATAAATGATTTACTGATGTAGTGATACAGGGAATACAGTAAAGTTGCATATGGAAAACAAACAATATTATCGTGACTACTGCCCCATCTTTCCATGATGAAACAGCAGCATTTTTGCTATACGAAACTAAAGTAATTTTCTATGCTTAAGCCCAAAGTTAAATAAAATGTTGAACATGTAGAGGCCAATGAACTTGTATCAGCACTATCTTGGCAGAATGCTTGACCATTATGCACTTGATTTTATTAACACCATTACTATCACCAAATACTATGTGACAGCTGCAAAACACAAACTGACGGCAAATTACAACATTAGCTACATCTAATTATATCATAATTCAATAGTCATACTGACACCAAATATATTTGGGAGCTGAACTTATCAAGTTTTAAAAACATCCATATTTGTTTTTGATGCCCGAGAGAGTTTAGATCATCTAAGAGAGTGGCTAAGAATGCGTAACCATACCTTTGATGATCAAGTTGAGCTCAGGATCGCCCGAGGGTGCCGATTCCTTCTCTTTGAAGAACCTCGCCTTCACCTTCTCTGCCCTGATCTCCCTCCAATGCATCTTGGAGTGTGCCTCCCGCCGTGCTTCGTACGTCCTCCGATGCTCACTGCTCTTCTTCTCCACGATGACCGCATCCTCCTCCAGTTTGGACGTGGATGCTCTCTCCTCCCGCCACTTGACGACCTCCTTGGCCCGCTTCTGTGATTGGGACATAGAGCAGTAGAGGAATGAATGTTTAACTTTATTTTCACGTATGATACAGACCTGCTAACCTCTGGAGTTAAAAACCTGTATTCTTCAATCCCAAAAGTTGTATTTTACTAACAAAAGTTGTATTCTTAAAAATAAACACGGACTGTTACGCGATCAATGCCTCTTACCATTCCTACATACAGGAAGACATTTTGCAGGACAGAATGGGCATTTCGCCATTGAAAATGGCACATACACACACACACAATTTAATTATTTTATTTTATTTTTTTTTAATCATATTTTATTGAGAAAAATTGTTCTGTCTTATTTGCTTCTAAAAATCGTACAAAATATGATTATATCGTACTGGTTGGCAGGTCTGATGATATCATGAATGCTCACAGCAGGAATACTGCGGAAAACTTGCAAATGGATCGTCTGTTTGGAGCCAGGTGGGCACTAACTCATATACTTAAACACATACTTAAAGCCCTTTTGGCTCTGAACAGACAATATTCTGCCCCTCAGCTCTTTTAGACTATACAATGCATTAACCTAGCAAGTATGTTACTAAGGGCTAACAGTGCACTCTTTGTAGGTTTTTGTAGTTTCACTGCCACTGCTATAATCAAAGTGCAACTAAAACTGACAATGAATAGACAATATTTTAATTATTTTTCCTGCTCATTTTGAGGATTGATGCAAATCAATATCGTACTTGAAAAACCCAATGTAAGCTTTCATGAGCCCGATCCGAGTATTCGTCTCAATGGTTTTACAATTTGGGTACGAATGACCTTTATCTGCCCATGCGCAAATCCTAATTACGAACTCGCTTATTCAGCTAAATTGGATATATTTACACTGCAATGCACAACTATCCCAGACAATTTCTTTCTTTCACTGGTTGATATAAATGAGAAGCCAATTGTACCTCAGATTCCACTTGTAAGACTTGATCTCCAGCAGCGGGGGTGTTCCTCCATCCTGTAACCTCCACGGGCTGACTGGGCAGTGTCTGCTCCATGGGCTCTCCCCTCTCATTCTGCATGGCACGTACCCTGCACTTGGCTGTTCCAGCTATCAAAACTGCCCCCTTCTTCAGGATACCACGCTGGACTATCAGTGTTACCACTGGTCTGTAAATTGAAGAAGCACTCATATGACCAAACAATGAATATAGAAACAGCACTTATTATTTCAAAATATAAAGTATCAAATCGAACAACTATTAGTTTTGGAAGTCCTATTCTAGTCCTATGTATACACATCTCTGTGTTGCTTTATGAGATTTTTAATTTTCAGGAAGGCTTGTTATGATTTTGCTATGATTTTGCTTGTGCAATATTCTTTATAAATATGATTTCCATTTGCTCAAAGGTTGACAGTTTAGAAGAACATGGAGCAATTTGTATCATAGTGCAATTTCAATGCCATAATTCAACATGAGTGCTGCACAAAGATCAGTCTTGGTTTTATACTTCAGTCACATTGCCAAACCGACTCCACACCGATTTCAAACCAACCTATTCTTTGCCATTTGTAGTAATGTAACTTTTTGTTCAGTCTGTACCGGTAGTCGCTTTCATTTGTGTGACTACTGTATCACTCCTTGGACTAAGTTGTGATGTCTCACTTGTATATGTGGTCTTGACCCCAAAATTCGAATATAAATATGTGCAATTAAAATTTTCACTCCCGGATTTGATGTCAGGACTCAAAGCCGTAACTAAGAAACTATTCAACATCACGTCACATATCAAATATGTCTCTATCAACAATAAACACAGCATTTATACAGTCAAACCTGTCTATAACGACCGCTGAAGGAAAACACAAAAAGCGCTCTACCGGTATGTAGACTGGTTTCTTAAGTACATGTTTCAATGAGAAACCATTTTCAAGGGAAACAAAAAATGTGGTCTATGTAGACAGGTGGTCACTGAAGCAGGTTTGACTGTATTACACCATGAAGCTATTTGACCATTCTGAGGTGCAGAGGGATTCTTACCCCATTCCTTTGTCCACTTTGCATTCCACGATGACCCCTTCTACCAGACCAGACTGGTCAGCATTCAGTTCCAGGACCTCTGCCTGGGTCATCACTGCCTCACACAGAGCTTCTAGATTACGGCCCTGCAAAGCAGATGAAAAACATGTTAATTGAACCAACAGTGGAAAAACAGGACAAGTTTGTTATGGTAACACAGATGATAAAGCTGCCTGTGAGAGTGTGAGGGCTACATGAGACAGGTAGAGGGAGAAACAGAGAGAGAGAGAGAGAGAGAGAGAGAGAGGGTTGGAGGAGGGGGGGGGGGGGGGAGGAATTATGCACTTGCTATACTCTTTTATAGAGCTACATTAAATAAACCAGTAGGTATGTGGAGCTTGTAAGAGGTGGGGAGGGGGGGGGGGGTCTTAATCATTGAACTATGTTTTACAGATATTGTACAGTTTTATATTTTAATTAAATGTGTTCAAGCAAGTAAATGTAGGTAACAGTTTACATTTTGAAGAAAACAGATAATGGCAACTGTAATGGGGTATTAACCTGTCTTAAAATCATATTATCAAGCATAACATGAAATAATGCAAAAGAATAGTTAAAATATGAGTTTCCCGCAAAATTGTAATACCTTTAGTGCTGAAATCTCCACACATTGGATGTCTCCACCATACTCCTCTACAGTGATATCATTGGCGAGCAGGTCTTTCCTTGTGAAGTCCTAAGAATGAATAAACAGGCAGAAATAAAGCAACCTTCATTGACAATTCACTCGTATACGGTAATGACCCTTAAAGATTATGCATTATTTCACTGAATGGAATCACCTATGACTTTAAAGTTTACCAATCGGCAAAATAAGTTTTGCTCTCAATGCAAGGGGTTCCAAGTCACTATACTGTATTCAAAACATGACCTTCAAATATTACTTCTACAAAGAGCAGTATGTGTGGCATAGTTGATTGTAGTAGTCCTCTGTTTGTTTTACGAGGCAACCAAATCTTGTACAGAGGTAAAATAACTTTAAAAAAATTTATGAATGAGCTGAAGTGTAGCTCAATAGAACTAGTAGATACTTACTGGATCAGCACCTGGCTTGTCACACTTATTCAAAGCTACGATGATGGGAACTATAGAGCAATGAAAACAAAAATATCAATCTAGCAATATAACAACTTGATCCATTCTAGATTATTTTTTAATGAGGTCATCACACAAACGTAAAGTAAACTTATTAGTTTTAACATCATACACAAAACAGATACAAATGTTAGCATAGAAATTAAAAAAGTAAAAGGCGCCAAAAGGTTGTACATGTAAGTGGTTGATTCAGTGAGAGAATCATATCGCTGTTTACTACATGATATGCTAGGCATGTAAAATGATATTAACTGCCTGCTCCCCCCCACCCCCACGTAAAAATAATGAGATATGGTAAACGTGTTTATTTCTTGTCACATCTTTGCATCAAAATATATAACACAGGAAAGGTAATTCTGAAAATCATCTAAAATTCTAATCAGTCATAAATTTACACTGATATATAATGTTTAAAGTGTCTAAAGTATCCTGAAAATTGTATCACGATAGTAGTATATTAATACCGGGTAAGTCAAAAAACATGGCCAAACACTAACAAGGGTCCAGTGGACATGGATACCCAAAGGTTAATGCAGGGGGTTGTTTCACAAAGATTCTAAGTTGAACTTATCTCTAAGTTGGATTTAACTATTATGGAAAGCCGTTAGCATCATTGAAAATATTTTGTTATTTTAAAAGGCATAAAATGTTGATTCAAATCATGCATATTGTCTATTATCAAGCAGATTTCATGTTCTTGATGTGGAATTTATGAAAAGTCTAAAATAATTGAATTTATGCTTCTGAATATATTTTATTTTAAGGCTAAAAATGTGAAACACCCCCCTGGTCCACCAAAATCTAGAATTTTAGCAGGGGCCATGCATGCCGGTCCTAAAACTATCATTTAGGACTACTTGTCAAATATTAGTGTGGAGCCGAGAGATGGTTTACCTCCAGCCTTCCTTGCGTATTTGATGGATTCTCTCGTCTGTTCCATGACACCATCGTCTGCTGCGACGACCAGCACCACGATGTCGGTCACCTCTGCACCCCTCTCCCTCATGGCCTTGAAGGCCGCATGACCAGGCGTGTCCAAAAATGTGATGATTTGACCTGATGGAAGCTGGACTGAAATTTAAGAAGATAAGACCAAAGTTTCCAAGTTTGATAGATCTTTATTTTAATAGGGAGCAGGTTTATGTGAGTATGAATGCAATCAGAAGACATATAGCTACAAGTCCTATCCATGGGACTCGGTAAATGAGAAATAACACCTTATCTGAGTGCACAAATGCACAGACTTGGATTCTAAACTCAAAATCTTTCCAAGATCACACCTCTAACGGCCAGAATATTTATTCTGTTTATCTCTTTAAAGTCAAAATGGAAGCTAAACTTACATGAACCTATGTCAGCCTGTTAAGACATCACTGTTCACCAACAACACCCCTCCCCATACCACTTGCTATCCCCATGAAGACTGCAGACTTTAAGATTTGTCTAGATATCAAAGAATGTTGATCCAAAATACTTAAAGCCCCACTGTACTACTTGTATCTACTTCCTCCCTCTATATAGAAAACAATGCCTAATCGGTGACCATTGGTCCCCCATGATACTCTTTTTCTTATGTTAATTGAGAGCTGAGTTGATGAGATAGCCACCTGTCAATGACCTCCCTGGGTGGTTCTAATCCCTCCTAGCCAAACTAGTACAGACAGCCTTTAAATGATCTAAAGAGAAATCGACAATTATATTTTTGATAGACTCACCTTGGAATGCCCCTATATGCTGAGTGATGCCCCCTGCCTCTCCGGCCGCTACCGAGGTCTTACGTAACGTGTCCAGGAGGGTGGTCTTTCCATGATCAACGTGTCCCATGATGGTCACTACAGGTGGGCGGAGCTTCAGAAGCGAGGGGTCAGCTGGGGGTCTAAATTGTACAGATTGATTGAATGTAATGGTTTCAGCCATATTTTTATTTGAAAAATATCGAGAAAACAAAAAGGTTTCAATAATATAAAACTTTGTATAATAGCTAATGTTAATTATCAATATTTTTCATGACTTATGGATGTTTTCCAACTCAATTGTATTTTGTCATAAATATAGGAACCACTACATGTACATGTACACCAAAAGGGTAGGCTATACACTTTTATTCAATCTTCTCATTAAAAGTAGATCACAGTAGTAACCTTTAGCATTAAATGAGGTATCCGATCTATCATTTAGTGCTCCACTGAGGAAAACATAGAAAAAAGGTGATCATTGCTCTATTATTCACCTATATGACCTTGAAAACTCATGTTATTAATGATTCAAATCAAGGTTAATGTACTTCAATGTTCCGTTATGTGCTGTTCACCTTGGATATGCATCCTTGTCTTTGGCAGGTGTTTCCTTTTTCTTGATGCGTAGAAAATGCATGTCTGATTCTGTCACAATATCTTCAATAAGAGATGGCTTCAGCACTGGTTGATCAAGAAAAGAAAAGAAAAGAAAAGAAAAAGGGGAATTGAGAAAGAGGAAGAGGGTGGAATTTTGAAAAATTTGATCTCATTAAATCAGAGAAGGAAAATAGGGAGGAGAAAAGCAGTAAAAAATGAAAACCTTGTTGCAGGTTGAAATTAAAAATAATTTGTTTAATTAGAGCCTTTCTATATAATACACAACTAAATATCAGTGACTGGCAAAAGATACAATAAAGAATCCAGAAGTCATTCTCCATTTCAAAGTAATTAAAAAATAGTATAGATCCTCTGATGTCATAAAAATTAGAGATATTGTAATCTTTCTGTAAACAGAGATTAAAGTCACTAACTTTCCATCCATTATGAAAATACATAATTATTCAATTACCTGATGAAGGTGAGAATTCAATACTTGTTTCCAGGAGAAATTCATAGATGTATTCTGAAAAAAAGGAAAAAACATCAACAATCAAATTTTGTTCAGATGATGCAACTTCATATGTGGGATTCAATTATCCAGCAAAAACTCACCTCCAATTTTTCTATACAAATTGAAACTTTGGTATAAATAGGATAAGAGGGCATCAGTATTACACCATCTCTTTCTCTCGATCTCCCTCTGCCTCTCCCTACATAACTTTCAGGACCCATCGTAATATGTAACGGGATAAGAGGATCACATGCTCTTCAGATCAATTTGAATATTTGGCCAGGTATCAAATTTACGTCATCATTTTTGTCTATTAAAAACCAATGTTGACATTTTATTTTCAGTTGATTGTGTCATATATACATATTTTCTGTAGTGTTTTCAAAGCAACTATGCTGACTGCGCTACTGTTGTTAGCCAACTGCACTATATATCCAGGATTTTAGTAAAGGTACCTTTATCTTCATACACTATTTAACAGTCAAATAGATCTTCTCAAACCAATCTATTCTCATCACATTCTAAGATGGCAAACTGTCTAGCTTACAAATGTTCACATTAAATGTTATTTTGAAAATCCACTCACTGTTTTAATCTTATATTTAGAATTCTGCAAGCAGTAATATGCTTCATAAGTATAGAACCTCATGATGCAAAGTTTAAAATATCAATTAAGATACAAATCAAGCTCGATACTGAAGCTTCACCAATACCTTCGTCTACATCCATGGCTTCTTGCAGCTCTTTTACTGTCATGGGTCCTGATACAGCAATCACTTTCATCTTCTGGAACACCTCCGGTTGGAGCTGCTTCTCTTTCTTGCCAGGACGAGGCCCCTTCTTGATCAACTTTGATTTATTAGTCGACCCCCCAGCATAGCCCCTAGTCCAAGTACACGCTGCTGTAAGCATGCCGCTTCTGTTCTGATGGATCTGCATGTCTGGAGGTTCGTTCTTGGAGAGTCCGAGATCTGCAAGGACTTGTATGTGTCTTGCTGGCTGGATAGGGGCTGGAACTCTTGGGTTGCTCCTGCATTGTTGCCTGAACTGCTGTTTGAAGAATCGCTGCATCAAGTAGCTCATCCTTCCGTTCGGTAGCAGAGACATTTTGGTCTAGCTCAATTGTCTAAATTCCTGCAATAGTCAACACCAACCACATCAATAGTAATATTATTAAAAATCCACATAGTCTAGAGCCTTAGCTTAGCAAATCACCATAAAACTATCCATAATTATTTAGAGTTATTCAACAATTATGGACAGAAATTGATGTTGAAATAGACTCCAAATCAATTTCAAACTTTTATGTATCCAACATGCAATAAATAGACTTGACCCACAGAAAGTATATTGAATATATTGGTCTTCACTTCACTTTTCATAATTTTCACTGAATTTCAGTCCACAATTTCCATTTGGATTTTGGTGTGCAGGTTTTGCTATTTTGTCAAACATGATGGTACGATAAGAGTTTTTGAAAAATAACTCATCTCCTTATGTTAAATGTTAACAAATCTCACTACTTTCTCTTTGGGTCCTGGTAACTTGTTAAGAATAAGAAGTGTTTCTAAAAGTAGTGTATTGTTTGACTGCGAGATAAACGTCCAACACATATGACTACATGTGGGGCTCCATTGAGACACAAATATTCCACTTCTCCTTTGAACTCGGATCATCTGGTTGATTATTTTGGATTCGAGCAGACAAGTTTATAGATGGCAAGTTATATTTGAATTCCTCTAAATGATGGAGTGTGTTGGTTAATCTTATACATATATAATGCAAATTGTGACACTTACTTCGGCTTGATTTCTGAAATAATGACCAACTACTCGCACGAGAAATTGTCCGGCAGTGATGATCAACAGCGCAGAGTGCCTAGGCGGCCGGGCGCGGGCGGCTGCGCTGGGCATGGGAGCTAAAGCGGCGCGGTTCGCTCTGTCCTAAAAAATAATGAAGCAGCAGAATTTGAAACGAATCTCGAGTCAAGCCTAGCCCCGGCGAGGCGGGGTGGCGACCCGGCTCACACCGTGGATATCATATCAGTAGGGCCTATACCGTACCTATAACGTGAGCTTTCAGGAGTTTGTTTGAAACTGGGTTAAAAGGTAAGTTCTAGTCTATCTCTTAAATGGGGGTTAACAACAAACTTAGACTGAAAATTTCTGTCTCTTTCATTTGTTAGCCTTTTATTTGGGTAGGGTCGGCTTAATTCTCTTAGATTTAGAAGTTAGAGGAGCCGACCCTACCCAAATAAGATGCTAACGAACGAAAGAGACAGTAATTTTTCGGTCTAGAACAAACTGTTTTAAGACTTCATGTCCACGACGCGATGTATGATCTTGTCACTTCTACTCTCCTCTATCTAAATTGTTATTTTATTTATAGAGCTAGAAAGTTATACTCAAATGAAGACCATCTCAATCTCACAGAGACAGAGAGAGTGAGAGAGAAAATGAATTAGAGTGTAAAAAAAATTGTCACTTGAAATATACATGCATAAATATATTTTTCATGCCTATCAATTAGTCATCCTCATTTACTATTCTAAAGTGTATCTCCATTATTTCTTTCTGCAGAGCTATCATCTCATGACGTGACTGCATGAGTGAGATATGGAATTATGGAAAATGATAATTCACCCTCTGCTGAGAGTACGAGTTAGGAATAGATCGACGTGGAACGCCATCAGCAAAGTTCTTCACACAACACCGGATGCTTCCATTTACAACTCTGACATCTCAAATTATATTTGCCATCCGAGCAGAAGCCATCACCGTTTTCAAAAGAGGCATCATCCTCCTGAAACAAATTCATCTCAGTTCCCAAGTTCAAAAGGAGAGACTGCAAAACCAAGAGCATACCAATTTACTGGATGGAGAATTTGGAGAAAAAACACAACAGACTTGCCATTTAAAACAGTTTACAGTACTACATCATCCTCAAACTTTACGAGTGATTCATCATCAAGGATGCCTGCTGCCGCCAAAAACCCCACCAAGAAGACTGTCTTTGGGCATCAGTGGGTAGATGAGTATGCTTGGATGCAGCAAGGTTTCTCAGAGGTAGCCTATATGTTAACCGGTTGACTATTGAATTCTCTAATCTCCACAGGCTTAGTATAGGAAACGCCCAGTTCAATTCCAGGAGGCAAAAGGTTAAAAGGTCTTTCTGGAATTGGCTTATTCGTCTGGCAGCCGGGATGGAGCAGAAAGCTTGAGAAAATTGTTGTTTATGCTTAGAGGCTGATGATATTGATATATTGGAGAGAAAGGTGATAAAGAGGATAAAAAAACATCCTTGATGGAAAGAGTGGGGGTATTTAATGGCTTAATTCTATTTTTGTTCTGCGATGGACTGGTGTTGTCTTGTGTTTGAAAGAAAATTTGGGAAGAGTATGCTTGAAAATAGAAATGAGGGTGAAACAGGGGCAAATCTTGGGGGGGGGGGGTAGTTTAGGGGTTGAGATAGCTGTTGAAAAGGGAAAGTCAACCAGAATGAAAATGGGATCTTGAAGCTGGATATAGATTGACAAGATTTTCTTTATCAAATTTCTTTGCAGGAATTGCTACAATACATAAAGGCAGAAAACAAGTAAGTATTTAAAGATTTTGTGTGTGTGTGGATAGAGTGTATTAGAGATAGTGTTACTGGTAGAAAAGGGAAAGACAATTTTTAATCATAATATATATCAACTAAAATTTGTCCTACAAGAAGATTCTGATAAATATAAGTATATGTGAATACTCTATTTAAATTACTTTCATTTCATTTATCATTTTCTTGCTCTATCTTGTGTACATGTAGCTAAAAACAACATTTTCCATTCAGTTGCATTTTAAAGCTTCCACAATTGCAACTTAGTCAACTTGTAAGACTTGTATTTGTGTAAATAATAATGACATTTGTTTTCCTCTTCCCTCTATAGCTTTTCAGAACAGTACTTCAACCATTTGAAAGCTATGCAAGAAAAGTTAAGAGCAGACATTATCCAATGTGAGGAAGGTGATTATGGTTCTGAAACTAACCTGAAGGTAAGCATGATTTGTGTTTTATTGATAATTCACATTTTTCATTCTTCACAAGTTTTAAAATCGTTTCAAATTGCGTTAGTAATAATGAGATGACCACAAAAATATGTTTGTTGAAAAAAAAGAGTAACAAACAATCTGCCTTTATTTCTCCTTGATCTGAAATATGAATGGTCGACCCAACCTAATCTGAACATAAATAATGACCCCCCTCCCCCCAAAAAAAAGGGAGAGAGAGAGAGAGAAAGTTTGGTCTATGGTGACTTAGATGCTAGTCAGTAAGTCATTCATCCCTTATACTGGTGGCAGCGGTGGGATTAGAATTAATATTAGCCACATATTGTGACTGTATTAGTTGATCTATGAATTATAACAAATTCATTTAAGTTCTTGCTCAACACTGTTGTAAATGTACAGGTGTAGGTGCCCGTGACCCCCATCGTTTGATTATGAAAAAATATATATTTTAGAGAATTTGAGAAAAGGAAAAAACACTGCCCATCATTGTATTGCCTTTAAAGCAAAGTACTAAAGCCCCTTAAGTGTTTTAAGTGTTCATATTTTGGTCTTGACATTTTCTTTAATTTCTCTAAAGGTCATAGGGGACTATGCTTACTATTCTGACATCTCAGAAAGTGGTTCTAGTATTTTCTGTCGGAGGAACATCAGGACAGGTATATCCATCATTTTTTTTTTTTGGGGGGGGGGCGGCAAGATATGGTAACAGGGCACCCATAAAAACTTGCAAAGCATATACTTTGAGAAATTATCTCATCTTAACAGGAAAATTCAAGCATTTGTTTTTTTAAATCTATATCCTTTCCTACTTTAATTTAATACCCAACCAATGTTTGAAACTAAGTATTTATAATTTCATTGTTGATGTTACCTTTCTTTCCTGTTTCTTGTTTTTTTTTCATTGATTACTCTTTTTTATCTGTTATCACATCCCTATTTTGTTTATTTTTTTATTTTGAATACCTCTTATTTTCTCCTGTGTAGGTGAAGACCAGGTGCTGTTGGATTCCAATCATCTCATGGAGTTATTTGGTTACAACCAGGTCATCATCACTGGTTTCAAGATATCACCATGCCAACGGTATCTAGGGGCGGTAGTAGAAGGTAGTCCTGATGCATATGATGGGCATATTATCAAGATGGAGGTTGGTGGTCAGTGTCGCCTGGTGGAATGCATCCAAGATATTACCAATATGGGTAAGCTCTTGCAGTTCAATGTTTTGTATTTGCTATTCCATTTTAACAGATTTCAATTCACATATGTAGACTTTTTGGTAAGAAGGGGAAATTGGAAGGTAGAGGAGGGGGAGAGAAAGAGTTTTCCTCAAGATCAATAGAGCTGTTTACAGATGAATCAAATCTATACATTCTTCTTTGCTATGAACCAATAGTGATGAACGACTGCATCTCAAGTTAACGTTATTCAGAATGCATTTTGCATAGATTGTTTGTAGATATGCAGGGAAAAAAATAATATTTATTTTTCGGGGGCTACTTTTCAAGCTTGCCTGCCTGAAAATAACATTCTAAAATTTATTATGCATTGAACTCTATGTAAATTTATGGGGGCTCTTTTCTGATTTTCTGGGGCTCTTTTGGGCATTTTGGGGGCTATTTCGCCCCGAGCCGTGTATTTTATTCACTGTAGATATGTCGGACAAGGCTCTGGCAAGCTTTACAGTTGTGAAGAGCTATAATTGTGGTAAAACATACACAAGGTGCATACATTTGCAGAGTACCTGTCTATCCCAATTCCATTTGGGGGATATTTTTCAAATTGTCTATTTTCATCTTGCCAAGGACAACTTTTTTTAGTCCCTTTTCCTTCCTTTCATTTGTAATTCCCTGATCTGTTGTATTCTAAAATTTCATCATTCCTTCGATTTGGAGCCAGAAGGGTGTTAACTCAAATACTTACACATAGATTTAATGCCCTTCTGGCTCCAAAAAGATAATTCCTTTAATTACTCATTCTCTTTCTTTACTTCTTTCTATTTACAAACCTCACACTCATTGCCTCCCCCATCTTTCTCTCATCCATTCTTTTTTTTTTCCAAAGTTTTTTGAAATGTTTTTATTCGATCATTTTCATCTCTTCTTGTAAATACTATTTTTCCCTTTCTCTCGTAAAAGTCATACAGATATTGTGCTTCTCATTCCAAACCTAATAAAAGGTTCTCTCATCCAATCTTCTCATGTGCATCATAGAGTTTCTTGGTGAGGATTCAGTGCTGTATACAAAGCCATTCAGCCTCCAAGCCAGGGAAGTGTGGAGACATCGGATCGGCTCCTCACAGCAGGGAGATGAACTGGTGTTTGAGGAAATGGATGAAAGGTAATCCAGAATCGTCCTCTATTGATCTTTTTGTTATCCCCAAGCCCATGGTATTGATGTTGCAAAAAATCACAATGAAAAGGAAAAAGTTGGAAAACTATGATAGTATGATTTATAAACAGATTCATTTCATAAGTTATTGTATCATCATTAACCTCACGTTATCTTCCAAGTCTTGTGAAAGATAGCCAGCAAGCAAAACTTTATTTTACCACCTCCCCTACAAGTAAGAGAAATCCAGATGATTTTCACAATGATACTTCTGCAACTTCATGAAGCTGCTACAGAGCTGAGCTGACAAGCTTCAGTGTACATCATAGATGAATCAGAAAATGCATGATTAGTACAAGATTGTCAAGGGATTGGTCTACATCATTCCAAAAGAACTTGCAAATTGGATTTTAGAATTTGTGTAAGACGAATTCTAGGTATAATAGGCTTTGTTATGAATTGTAGAATATCTCTAATCATTCATTTTTGTCAATATTAAATATGATTATTTGTTTTGAAAGTTTTTTAGGCAGTCGGTGATGACATGTCTTTAATGAATTGTAGAATATCTCTATTTATCCATTGGTGCCAATGGTTAATATAATGAATAACTTTCTTCGAGAAGCTCTCTCAGACAGTCAATATTTTATCATTCATTTTTGTCAATATTGAATATGTTGATTTTTTTTTTCTCCAAAAGTTTTCTCAGGCAGTCAGTGATGGCATGCCTTTAATGAATTGTAAAAAAAATACCTCTAATTATCCATTGATGCCAAGTGTTAATATAATGAATAATTTTCTTCGTAAAGCTCTGTCAGACAGTCAATATCTGATCATCAGCATTTCATTTATCTTATTTCTAGATTCTTTGTAGATCTGTCCCACACCAAAGACAGACGATACGTCGTCATCAACAGCAACTCTCGAACTTCCTCTGAGCTATGGTTGATCGACTGCCTCAGAAGCTCATCAGAAACGCAGCCCGTGTTGGTTTGGCCGAGACAAGATGGTGTAGAATGCTACCTAGATAGCTGTGGACAGACTCTCCTTGCGTTGTCCAATGCTGGGGATTCATCTGAACTAAAAGCAAGTGAAATTCTTCCATCAAAATCTACCATTTTCAGTCTTGTCAGTGGTTGTGTACTACAGAGGGGTTTGATAACATGTAGAAAAGTCATGAAAGTTTACATTTAAAAAAATCCAGGATTGTAAATCTGGTTTATATTCATATATATATAGCAATAGATAATCGAGAATGCATTGAATGGAAATGCAACTTCTTTTTGTCAGATTTCCATAGTGTGCTGACCTTGTTACCCTCTCTAGTTGAATTTTGGGAATTGCAATATACTTCTTCTGTTGAAGCTTTTACTATAGCAATTTAGCAATCTAAGATCTGTAGTTGTTAACAAATTACATAAATTGTATAACATACTATTATTTGTATTTGTTTACAACACACAGTCATTTTAACATCTACATTAGACAAATCTTATCATAACAAAGTCTATAGCATTCCTAAAAAGCTTCAATGAGCTGCTGGGACTGGATTCTCCCTTCAAGGTTCTAAGGAAAATGCAAAACAGTAATATTTTTATGCCTCCGCCACCGAAGGTGGTGCCGGAGGCATCATGTTTTCGGGTTGTCCGTCCGTACGTCCGTCCGTACGTCCGTCCCGTTTGACCGTTATCACAATATCTCAAGAACCATTTAAGATTTAAACTTAAGACTCGGGAATAGTATTTATCACCATAGGAAGACGATCTGATTAGATTTTGGAGTACGTAGGTCAAAGGTCACAGGTCACAGAGGTCAACTTATGAAATTCCTTGTATTGAGTTTGTTAGCGCGATATCTCAAGAACCATTTGAGATTTAAACTTCAAACTTAAGGATAGTATGTATCACCATAGGAAGACGATCTGATTAGATTTTGGAGCACGTATGTCAAAGGTCAAGGGTCACAGAGGTCAACTTATGAAATTCCATACATTGAGATTGTTATCATGATATCTCAAGAACCACTGGAGATTTAAACTTCAAACTTAGTGATAGTGTATTTCACTATAGGAAAACAATCTGATTACATTTTGGAGCACGTAGGTCAAAGGTCAAGGGTCATAGAGGTCAACTTATGAAATTCCATACATTGAGATTGTTATCATGATATCTCAAGAACCACTGGAGATGTAAAAACTTCAAACTTAAGGATAATATGTATCACCATAGGAAGACGATCTGATTAGATTTTGGAGCACGTAGGTCAAAGGTCAAGGGTCACAGAGGTCAACTTATGAAATTCCATACATTGAGATTGTTATCATAATATCTCAAGAACCACTGGAGATTTAAACTTCAAACTTAATGATAGTGTGTATCACCATAGGAAGACAATCTGATTAGATTTTGGAGCACGTAGGTCAAAGGTCAAGGGTCACAGAGGTCAACTTATGAAATTCCATACATTGAGATCGTTATCGCGATATCTCAAGAACCACTGGAGAATTTTCACTTCAAACTTAATGATAGTATGTATCACCATATCATAATATCTCAAGAACCACTGGAGATTTAAACTTCAAACTTAATGATAGTGTGTATCACCATAGGAAGACAATCTGATTAGATTTTGGAGCACGTAGGTCAAAGGTCAAGGGTCACAGAGGTCAACTTATGAAATTCCATACATTGAGATTGTTATCATGATATCTCAAGAACCACTGGAGATTTAAACTCCAAACTTGTTTAAATTGCTCTATGGCGGAGGCATCATTTTCGACTGCGCGCAGTCAAAATTCCATCTAGTTTTTTTTTAATAGGCTAGTTTCCCCACAATGAATGTCCATACATGCCATTAGATGGATCCTGACCCCCATATCCCTTTGAAAGGGTCGTAGGGGCAAATATTGTGATAATTTGAATAAACACCAATTTCAGGCCGAAATGGTAAGGGCCGGGGTGGCTCAGCATTTTCGAGGAAAATATTATATTTTTTGAATAGGCTAGTTTCCCCACAATGAATGTACAAACATGCCATTAGATGGATCCTGACCCCCATATCCCTTTGAAAGGGGCGTAGGGGCAAATATTGTAAAAATTTGAATTATCACAACTTTCGGGCCGAAATTAGAAGGTCCGGGGTGGCTCAGCATTTTGGAGGAAAATATATATTTTTTTTAATAGGTTAGTTTTCCCACAATGAATGTCCATACATGCCATTAGATGGATCTTGACCCCCGATATCCCTTTGAAAGGGGCGTAGGGGCAAATATTGTGATAATTTGAATAAACACCAATTTCAGGCCAAAATGGTAAGGGCCGGGGTGGTTCAGCATTTTCGAGGAAAATATTATATTTTTTGAATAGGCTAGTTTCCCCACAATCAATGTACATACATGCCATTAGATGGATCCTGACCCCCATATCCCTTTGAAAGGGGCGTAGGGGCAAATATTGTAAAAATTTGAATTATCACAACTTTCGGGCCGAAATTAGAAGGTCCAGGGTGGCTCAGCATTTTGGAGGAAAATATATATTTTTTTTAATAGGTTAGTTTTCCCACAATGAATGTCCATACATGCCATTAGATGGATCTTGACCCCGATATCCCTTTGAAAGGGGCGTAGGGGCAAATATTGTGATAATTTGAATAAACACCAATTTCAGGCCAAAATGGTAAGGGCCGGGGTGGTTCAGCATTTTCGAGGAAAATATTATATTTTTTGAATAGGCTAGTTTCCCCACAATCAATGTACATACATGCCATTAGATGGATCCTGACCCCCATATCCCTTTGAAAGGGGCGTAGGGGCAAATATTGTAAAAATTTGAATTATCACAATTTTCGGGCCGAAATTAGAAGGTCCGGGGTGGCTCAGCATTTTGGAGGAAAATATATATTTTTTTTAATAGGTTAGTTTCCCCACAATGAATGTCCATACATGCCATTAGATGGATCCTGACCCCCATATCCCTTTGGAAGGGGCGTAGGGGCAAATATTGTAAAAATTCGAATTATCACAACTTTCAGGCCGAAATTAGAAGGTGGTTCAGCATTTTGGAGGAAAATATATATTTTTTTTTAATAGGCTAGTTTCCCCACAATGAATGTCCATACATGCCATTAGATGGATCCTGACCCCCATATCCCTTTGAAAGGGGCGTAGGGGCAAATATTGTGATAATTTGAATAAACACCAATTTCAGGCCGAAATTGTAAGGGCCGGGGTGGTTCAGCATTTTGGAGGAAAATATATTTTTTTTTTAATAGGCTAGTTTCCCCACAATGAATGTACATACATGCCATTAGATGGATCCTAACCCCCATATCCCTTTGAAAGGGGCGAAGGGGCAAATATTGTAAAAATTTGAATTATCACAACTTTCGTGCCGAAATTGTAAGGGCCGGGGTGGTTCAGCATTTTGGAGGAAAATATTTTTTTTCTTTAATAGGCTAGTTTCCCCACAATCAATGTACATACATGCCATTAGATGGATCCTGACCCCCATATCCCTTTGGAAGTGGCGTAGGGCAAATATTGTAAAAATTTGAATTATCACAACTTTCGGGCCGAAATTAGAAGGTCCGGGGTGGTTCAGCATTTTGGAGGAAAATATATATTTTTTTTTAATAGGTTAGTTTCCCCACAATGAATGTCCATACATGCCATTAGATGGATCTTGACCCCTATATCCCTTTGAAAGGGGCCTTGGGGCAAATATTGTGATAATTTGAATAAACACCAATTTCAGGCCGAAATGGTAAGGGCCGGGGTGGTTCAGGATTTTGGAGGAAAATATTTTTTTTTTTAATAGGCTAGTTTCCCCACAATCAATGTACATACATGCCATTAGAAGGATCCTGACCCCCATATCCCTTTGAAAGGGGCGTAGGGGCAAATATTGTAAAAATTTGAATTATCACAATTTTCGGGCCGATATTAATAGGTCCGGGGTGGCTCAGCATTTTGGAGGAAAATATATATTTTTTTTAATAGGTTAGTTTCCCCACAATGAATGTCCATACATGCCATTAGATGGATCTTGACCCCGATATCCCTTTGAAAGGGGCGTAGTGGCAAATATTGTGATAATTTGAATAAACACCAATTTCAGGCCGAAATTGTAAGGGCCGGGGTGGTTCAGCAATTTGGAGGAAAATATATATTTTTTTTAATAGGCTAGTTTCCCCACAATGAATGTACATACATGCCATTAGATGGATCCTGACCCCCATATCCCTTTGAAAGGGGCGTAGGGGCAAATATTGTAAAAATTTGAATTATCACAACTTTCGGGCCGAAATTGTAAGGTCCGGGGTGGTTCAGCATTTTGGAGGAAAATATATATTTTTTTTAATAGGTTAGTTTCCCCACAATGAATGTCCATACATGCCATTAGATGGATCTTGACCCCCATATCCCTTTGAAAGGGGCCTAGGGGCAAATATTGTGATAATTTGAATAAACACCAATTTCAGGCCGAAATGGTAAGGGCCGGGGTGGTTCAGCATTTTGGAGGAAAATATTTTTTTTTTTTAATAGACTAGTTTCCCCACAATCAATGTACATACATGCCATTAGAAGGATCCTGACCCCCATATCCCTTTGAAAGGGGCGTAGGGGCAAATATTGTAACAATTTGAATTATCACAATTTTCGGGCCGAAATTAGAAGGTCCGGGGTGGTTCAGCATTTTGGAGGAAAATATATATATTTTTTTAAATAGGTTAGTTTCCCCACAATGAATGTCCATACATGCCATTAGATGGATCCTGACCCCCATATCCCTTTGAAAGGGGCGTAGGGGCAAATATTGTGATAATTCGAATAAACACCAATTTCAGGCCGAAATGGTAAGGGCCGGGGTGGTTCAGCATTTTGGAGGAAAATATTATATTTTTTGAATAGGCTAGTTTCCCCACAATGAATGTACATACATGCCATTAGATGGATCCTGACCCCCATATCCCTTTGAAAGGGGCGTAGGGGCAAATATTGTAAAAATTTGAATTATCACAACTTTCGGGCCGAAATTAGAAGGTCCGGGGTGGTTCAGCATTTTGGAGGAAAATATATATTTTTTTAAATAGGTTAGTTTCCCCACAATGAATGTCCATACATGCCATTAGATGGATCCTGACCCCCATATCCCTTTGAAAGGGGCGTAGGGGCAAATATTGTGATAATTTGAATAAACACCAATTTCAGGCCGAAATGGTAAGGGCCGGGGTGGTTCAGCATTTTGGAGGAAAATATTATATTTTTTGAATAGGCTAGTTTCCCCACAATGAATGTACATACATGCCATTAGATGGATCCTGACCCCCAAATCCCTTTGAAAGGGGCGTAGGGGCAAATATTGTAAAAATTTGAATTATCACAACTTTCGGGCCGAAATTAGAAGGTCCGGGGTGGTTCAGCATTTTGGAGGAAAATATATATTTTTTTTTAATAGGTTAGTTTCCCCAAAATGAATGTCCATACATGCCATTAGATGGATCTTGACCCCCATATCCCTTTGAAAGGGGCCTTGGGGCAAATATTGTGATAATTTGAATAAACACCAATTTCAGGCCGAAATGGTAAGGGCCGGGGTGGTTCAGGATTTTGGAGGAAAATAT